GGGGGGGGAAAAGGGAGGGGGGGGGGGGGGTCGGAACAGGTCCCTACATCCTAAACCCAGTACCCAGGTTTATGAGTGGCATCCCACGGGAACCTACCATCGTGGTGAACCAACCAACCAACGAACGAGCTGAGCAAGCAGAGAGATAGAGGTAGAGTGAGAAAGAGAGTTAGTTGGGTTACGAGAGAGAGAGAGAGAGAGAGAGAGAGAGAGAGAGAGAGAGAGAGGGAGAGAGAGAGAGAGAGAGAATGGGAAAGCCAGGAGGATCCAGCCGCGCAGCAGCCCACGGACATGGCCGCGGCCTTCTGATATTAATACATTCCATTACCGCAGACAATGACCGGCTGAATGGGCCTCCGACTCTTGATGAGCTCAGGGCCCCAACCGCGAAACTCTACTCCGCGCGTCACCATCTAATTTAATACACCCTCCGCGGCAGGGAGCCGCTCTGGGGTGGTGTAAGGTGGCCGCAAAGTTCTGTCCAAGGGGTGAGAAGTAGGCAGCTTTGTGCAATGAAAAGATTCTGCCTCTCTCGGTTTCCTTTTCTTGTACTCTTTTGGTCTGGCCTTGCTTATACTTATGGTTGCTCACTCATTTTTACTCTCTCTCCATTTCTTTTAACCATTCACTCTTTTTTTATACGAGCGTCGACGTGCGACAATCACTCACGTATTCGCGACACCCCGCAAGGGGTAAGGAAACCAGACTTGTTTCTAATGTCGGTTTGACAACTTTTTCGCGACAATCCTTTGAATCGCTTCGAAGGGTTCGTTTGACGAACCGCCATTCGGATTGTTATGCAGATCGAGCACTACTATAGCCAGACGTACTCGCTCGGATGGGTCTTTGTGCTGGTTTACGTCAACTTGCTACTCGCTTTTCAAACTGGGCGCGAACTCGTGCCACTGAATATTCGCGAGTAACGGGCTGTACCAGTCGTGGGTTATGTTCTTACGTACATTGTGGTTCACCACTCATGCCGATGTATGAGTGGTTTATTAATGCTTTACTGTGGACTGTTAAGGCTTAAGCAATACCATACCGACGGCGGAATAGTAGGGTGCAAGAAGATAGCCCCCCATAATTCGAAAATTCCGATTCTACTTGTTGTTCTGGCTTCTTTTAAGTTTGTTCTATAATGTTCCAGAAAAACAAGTTTCTCAACTGAAATTTGTAGCAATGCGGCGAAAAAAAAACACTTTTTTACTGGAACCCCCCACTTATGGGAAATCAAACTTTTTCTGTTGTTCCAGATTGTTCTAGTTGTTCTAAATATTGTTTCAAAATGTTTATACCGCTAAGTAAAGAATACTCGAATGGGATCAAACAAACATTTTATGCATAGCAAGTAGATATAGGACCATTTCGAACGATTTCCAGGTTATTCCAGCTTGTTCTAGGTTTTCCTAGGTTTTCCTAGGGTTCCGTAGGGTTTCCTAGGTTTCCCTAAGTTTTCCTAGGTTTTTCTAGGTTGTTCTAGATTGTTCCTCGTTGTTCTACGTCCTACCATGATCAGGTAGGACAGTCACATAAAACCAGGGAAACACTGGAAAAGCTGAGGAGGACGAACGCTCTCACAATAGCAAGTGGATATAGGACCATTTCGAGCGTTTTCCAGGTTATTCCAGCTTGTTCTATTTTTTCCTAGGTTTCCGTAGGTTTTCATAGGTTTCCGTAGGGTTTCCTAGGTTTCCATAGGTTTTCCTAGGTTTTTCTAGGTTGTTCTGGATTGTTCCTCGTTGTTCCACGTCCTACCCTGATCAGGTGCGACAGTCACATGAAACCAGGGAAACACTGAAAAAGCTGAGGAGGACGAACGCTCTCAGAATAGCAAGTGGATATAGGACCATTTCGAACGATTTCCAGGTTATTCCAGGATGTGTTCTAGCTTGCTCTAGGTTGTTCTAGGTTTTTCTAGGATGCTCCAAGTTGTTCTTGGTCTATCGATTATTGTTCTAGAACTGTATAACGATCGGGTAGTCGCAAGTCGGATAAAAGTAGGAAGAAACGATTGTATATGCATAAAACGTTTTTTTAATCCCATTCGGGTATTCTTTACTTGGCGGTATTAATATTTTGGAACAATATTTAAAACTTCTAGAACAACCTTGAACAACAACAAAAGTTTGATTTTCCATAAGTGAGGGGTTCTGGTAAAAAAGTGTTTTTTCTCCTCACCGCTACAAATTTCAATTTAGAAACTTGTTTTTCTGGAACATTGTAGAACAAACTTAGAGCAACTCAGAACAAACAACGGAATCGGAATTTTCGAATTATGGGGAGCTAACTTCCCAGACTTCGAATAGTACCTGTCGAATAGTCCAATAGTCGAATAGTCGAATAGTCTTTTTGTTCAGAGATGGATGTTGAGGGTCGATGAACATTTTGGTTAGTTTCTCATTACGGGTAGTTAATATGGAAACTCGGCGATGCTTTAAAACTGTATGGATGTGTATATATCACTGTCTACGTACAATGGAAAATTAATGATTAAGGTACGAGAGTGTTGTGTATATGAAAAATTCCCACGTTCTCAGGAAAATCCTTATCGCAGTCCAAATTGACAATGAGATAATAGTATAAGATGGGGTATTCTTGAAGTAACGATAACGAGCGCAGAACGTAATTTTCATGAAGGAAACTTATTGTCGAGGGCGACCGTCTAGTGGTAGCTGAAAGGTCGGCTAATCATTTTTCCATAGAGCCGGCACCAAGACTGCTTCTCGACTAGGTACAGGCGCGAAACTTCGTCCTTTTGTGTCGAACAAACTTTGTTTAGCGTGGTTAGTTGAATGGAGGAGAATACAGCGAGTGACATTAAACCCAAATCCATGAAATAACCGAATTCGTAGCGGCACGAAAATCTTTGCATAAAACACCCACGACCACTTCACCTTGTCAGCTATACTATTCCTGGATCAAGTCAAAATTCGTGACTCCCTAACGAAACTCAATGTTTGCATAGGAGAGAGTCCTCTTGACGTGAACGATGAAAATTTCAGTCAGCCTCAGACTCCTAGTCAATTTATACCTGTCCATTACGTCGAAGGGTGTGAACTGAGCTTAAAGAAGGTTTGATAGGTGAAGGCACCCGTACGTATAGTCCAAATGAAAAAGTTTTCAAGTGACAAGAATAGAAAATTCCTCGATCGGCCGATCCCCATACGCGAGGCTGACGCTTGAAAGATTTACCCTTTTTCAAAAGAAACCCTCCCTTATATATAAACTTCAACCCTTATATCAATATACAAGTGAGTCAGGAAAAAATTTTTATTATAAAAAATGGAACTTTCTTTTACATACACTAACTTTATATACCGGTTGGCATAATTTTTTTTGTATTAAAAATTACTTCAAAAATCTCTACGGTATTAGGCCTTACCTCCGACTTTGTTATTCCCTTAACACGTCAGCAAATGGACGCGTAAGGATCGACGCTGAACGTCAGGAATTATTATTATTCTTGGAGGACGAACGTAAAACGTGTTTATTAAGAGCGTCCCCGGAACAGGTCCCCCTCCCGCCGCCCCTTGTCATTTCTCCTAGTAGCAGCAGACGGCTTCGCCAGGAGTGGTAAACGGTCCGCACAATTAGGGAAGGCGCTTCGCACGCCGTTCTGGCCTCATCTTTTATTCATGAATCCCTCGTACCTTTTCCCTTAAGATTAAAACTAAAGCACGTCTCACAACTATGGCGTACACGTAGACTACACGTAGTCTATATCTATATGGGATACGGGATATATAGAAACGCATCTACGGACCGTTACGTATACCCATTGGCGAAAAAATATATTCCCTTGAATCGCTTTGCGAAATCTCAACTGGTCCGACTACTACGTATAGGGTCGGGGACATGTATTACTCTTTTAAGCCAGTACGTAAAAGTTTTCTGGTATACCTATATATACGTATCCCATGTAAGTACCCGTTAGCCACATATACGTGTAGCCGATTGGCGATCGAGTCGCCAGTCAAAAAGTTCGACCATTAAAGAACGTCGAGTGGCCATGTACGAGTCTAATGGACGTGAATTCCTTTCGGCCACTTTAAAAAGTTTCTCAGAATTTCTTTTCCGCCGGGTTACTATCTACGGATGTAACCCACGTATATACCTATGGGCATATCTATTGTAAAAATAGCGGACGTGGAAGGATTCACCAGGAAATATGTAGCCATAGCTCGTGATAAAAGTTTATATGATATCTCTGGGCACTGTTATGTATAGCTATAGTCCAGCCATTGCGTCATGATCTGTGCTTGTGTTTTCAGACTGAAGACGGAAATTCACGGAGGCGCTTGGTGCCCTAAGAACGAAATTACGACGGAACCACGTGAGTGGCTCGAGATTGATCTCCATACGGTACACATGATCACTGCGACTGGTACTCAGGGTCGATTTGGAAATGGCCTTGGCGTTGAGTTCGCCGAAGCTTACCTACTGGAATATTGGCGACCTCATCTTGGCAAGTGGGTTCGCTACAGGGACGTTAAAGGCGAAGAGGTGAGTCTTTGGGATTTATCTTGGGCTGCATGGCTGTTAAGCTGCGTCAGCGGAAGAAGTGGTGGAAAAAAGTGAAGCTCGGGCGGCTCAAAGAAAGCGAATCCGTTATAGGAGCTGAAGGTGACTGAGTTACTGGGGAAAAAGAAAAATGAAAATAATAGAGCAAAGGCTGGAATGGTAAATGCGAAAAAGTCAAGTTAAATGGCAACGTGAATCGCGTCATGTGAACGTTGAACGTCCCGGATAATTTACAAAGATTTAAACCTCGAAGAAAGTACTTGAGCCGTGCTTCCGGGCCGCGAGGAACGCCCGGTTAATTGCTGTGAGAAATCCTATTAAGCTCGCGTTCCTCGAGTCCTTGCTTCTCGATTATCGTGCGGATTTACCATTCAATGGAACTAATTGCCAAGAGAAATAATTACAGGGCAGTACAGCAAACAGAGACGTTTGCGATCGATTTGCGATGTTGCGTACGTTTATCTGTTGTGTAAAAAAAATTAATTATTGATTCATAGCCTGGATGAATCTTCGAGTCGAATAACGAAACAGATTTGATGGCCTTCGTCAAACGTTATTTTGATTGATCTTAATACTGTCTTGTATACCAGGATGACTCATCTTTGATATTAAAAGCCACTGCGCATGCGCCTTTGGTACAGATGAAAGCCACTATCCCGCGGCACAGATTGATATTAATGCTCCACATTGCCGTGACTTATAACGATATATCTTTATATTTCCAATAAGCAATAAGCGCACATCTGAAGTTTACTAAGTGAAACAGCAGGAAGCTGCACGGTCTTACTGATACCGCGGTCTGTACTTATTGAGTGAACGCCCTTGAGTTTATGCATAGGTTCGCATCACGTGACAGACTTTCCAGAGTAAATCAGAGCGCGATTAATACGGATGCTACGTCATATGAAATAATAATCAAATTGCGTTTAAATGGGGTTCCTCTGTGTACTATGTATACCAAGGAAGATTATTATTTCTGGGATAGTCGCGGCTACGCCACCTAAATACCACATACCTCCTCGATGCGGTCAAAGCAAAGAATTACATACGGATTATCTCCTTGGCCAAGTAAGCAGCTTATCTTCATTTCTGAAAGCTAATTTCGTGCTGGTCCTTGTAACGTAATAAAGTTTAAAAATCTAAATTTTTCTTATAACCTACCCATGCTTCACTTTTCGAGTCTCCTGCAGTCAATCTTCTGTTTCGTAGCAATTGGCCACTTCGCATTTGTCAAGTGTGCAGAATTTATTGCGGCGTTCGGCCTGCATTTACATATGCAATGCGAGAGAATAAGACAATGTAAACTGGCGTTTAACCCTCTTTGTACAACGCGTGTAACGGGACTCAATGTGGAGCGGATTACCAGTACCGGGTATTCCCGGTGCGTGGTATACACGTGTAGTATGCCAGTAGCTGTAGTCGTAGAGCGTAATAATAATTGTCACGAAAGCGAAGGCGCGGTAAACGCTGCCGGTGCACAGTGGCTCGCTTCAAAAGGCCGCCAGCCGTAATTAAGGCTTGAGGCGCAGCCAAAAGCTTTTTTGGCTCGCGTTAATAATAAATAGTCACGTCGAAAACCAGCCTGCCACAGTCCCCGAGTCTCATTAGCTGCGTGGGACGGCTCTTGGTACGAAGCAGCCGAGGTCCATCGACTTCAGAGATTAAATGTCTTTCCGGGAATTCAAAGAGCAAGCTCAACGCTCGCGAATGCTGTTACGGACTAACTACTGGTATTAAAAAAAAAAAGGTCAAAGTTCGTTGGTTCGATTCTTTTACTAAAATTTTATACCTAATACGTACGTGGTAGCGTGTATGATCTTTTGAAATACTTTTGTTTGACCTATGACCCCGTTTGATTGAATATATGTATATATAGGCAACAACTTCAGCACGAGGTTAGGTCGATGATTTGTCATCATTTAAAATGTGACTACGAACAAATAAATGTCTGATTCAAACTGGCACTGGTGGAAAAGCATGATTCGGTTTGCACGCGAATGCCCAAACGAGGTGGGCATACAGTCGTGGGAAAGGTGATCTATCAGAAATGTCAAAGGTCAAATCTTGCAGAGGTCACCGTTCGCTGGTGGTTGCGACAAAGGGTGGGAAGGACCCTCTTAATCCGTTATTATCGTGTCACGCGAGCCTCCGTTCACTTTGGTCTCACGTGAGCTCTTTGGGCTGCGCTCGAAGGGTCTTCTGAAAATTCAGCAATTAAGGAGGATGACGACGAGACGTGCGTGAAGACGCAGCGGCTCGAGGTTCCTCGCGTAAACGCAAACGCTAACGCATGTGTCGAGCTCTCGGCTAAATCGCACGCAACTTCTGTCAAACCTATCAGATCGGAGGGCGTGACGTCTCGAAACGCAATTTACTCCGGCGGAGATATCATCCTCAATCATTGTCAAAATCCTTTCGATTTCGTCCCTTAACTCGTATAAGGTTGACAGTTCTGGTGACTGGCTGCCGCAACGTGAGAGTCATAGAAAAGTCGAGGTTTTTCTTTGTCTGTCAACAAAAAGAAGGAAAAAAAAAGGAAAATTTCGAACTGACAAAAGAAAAGCGAATGGTTAGGTTGTCAGAATGCCTTCCCTATACTATACTATACTTTTGTAAATACCGAGTGAGGCGGATTTCATGAATTATAAATTTAGGCCATGTATATCCATAGAGAATAGGGAAAGCAGGGTGGAAAGGTTTCCATTGATGGGAAATAATGTCAGGAATATAGGGTAGTTGGTCGTTAAATGGCAATTCGCCCTGCCCGTTAAACCTCGAAGGCTTTTCATAGTATAGAAACCAGTGCTAGGACTCTTGATTCAAATGAATTAGTCTCTTTACTCAATAATGGAATGACGGATTAATTGGGGTGGAATAACACACGGATCAATGTAAACTTCGCTACCGGGATACCTCGAAAAGGGTGAAGCGAAACGGAAAGCCATCCAAATGGTCCAACATCTCGAGTTCCTGCTTTTTGTATCTAACCCAGGTACGTATTAGGTGATGAAAAGTAATACCACCCCAGTGCAACCAACGGAGTGTAGCTACCCTCTCGGCGTTCACCCTTCTTCGCCTCTAGTAGCCTTTAGCTGGGTCTACAATGTCCTATACGGTCTGTATCTACACCCTCGGCCGTAGTCTCACCAGCGACGTCCCAGCTCTGGCAAAAGTCCCAGGTGTGGTGAAATGAAAAAGAATCGACTTAGGCCGTCGGGCACCTAGAGTACCTAGGGTATAATGTGTACCAACCCTCCTAGCGTCGCCAACGGTGGCACAGTGCGCCCTGGGGAGTATTTTCTGTCGCGGGGAACCGAGCCGTGGGGCCATCGAGGTTGTACACGTGGATACGGAGTCGCCAGTTGGTATGAAGCTACATAGGTAGAGCGGTACGTGGGTGGTTAACGAATGGCGAAGAGGTTGAAGAGGGTTCAAATGGTAGACGTAGGAATGGGGGTTGGGCGGGGGATGACGTCGAGCGTGTTGCCGATGTCAGTCCGTGAACGTGCATAGAATGTCTTGGCTGGCGGAAAACGCGACGTCACGCAACAATGTGTATATATGGATAATGCGTGTTGGTGTACTCGAGGCAGTCGACTACCACTACATGTGCCTAAGGGGGTAACTCGTGTTAATACAGGGTGCCAACCTTACCTGAAGGTAGCTTTACCTGTCCCTAACCCCAAGTAAACCGATTATTTTATTCATAATGCTTGGCTGGGTACGGCACTAAGATAAAAGGGGTGTTGTTGGTTTTTACGTGAAAGAGCCACCCAGTTCTCGTGAAAATCTTACAAGACTAATAATACTCTCTTTGAATGCACTAAAGAACCGACTGCTGATTAATTAAGGGTCTGTCTTAATGATCGCAGCTAAGAATCCGGATTCTAGCAAGGATTCAAATTCTTTCTAACGAACCGTATTTCTTCATGTGTTTTTTTTTTTTCGTTTTAGGTAATAAAAGGGAATACCAACACCTACTTGGAATCCAAACATGAACTCGAACCACCAATCTGGGCCAGTAAAATTCGATTCGTGCCATACAGCTATTACAGGCGTACAGTCTGCATGCGAGTGGAACTTTACGGATGTTACTGGAGTGGTGAGTAGATTATTTTTTCAAAATTTCAAAATTAATATTTATCCCTATTCCAATCGAATGTCAAAGTCGTATAACATAGTTTCTAATATTTGAAATTAAAAAGGCAATAATCTCGACTGTATCATGGACCACGAATATTCAATCTGAATTTGACTGAGATGCCGGCAACAGGCTTCTACCCCGCCTGTCAACGTAACTTCTCCAGATATTAAGCGCATCGTTCGCGTTACAGATGGCGTAGTTTCCTACTCGATGCCTCAGGGAGATAAAAGAGGCAACGAGTGGGAATTCTTCGACGTGACCTACGACGGCCATTGGGATGCTGAACTACGTCGCGGTCTTGGCCAGTTGACAGATGGTAGGACTGGACCAGACGACTTCAAAATGGGCTACTACGATTACGATCGTGGACAAGGATGGGTTGGCTGGAGAAACGATGGCAGATCTGGACATCCACTGGAGATCAAATTTGAGTTTGATAAAGTTCGAGAATTCTCCGCGGTCCATATCTACTGCAACAACCAGTTTTCTCGAGACGTTCAGGTAGGAAATGTACCTCGTAGCGTTTTCTCCGAGACAGAAAGAGAGAGGAAATTTGCAAATAGAATTCGTACGGATATCAATTTGCAAGCCGATCCCATATTATATTGGATGCGATCCAATTCACTTTTAGATACTCCGAAAGTTCTCTGTTATCTCCATGGTAGAGTTCAACGATAGGAAATAGTTATCACAAATAGGAAATGCACAAGTCAGCGAAGCGACCGATGATCAACAGGCTCCGGTACCGACGTCTCACGCCCACCCGAGTGAGACGACGCCAAGCGTCGCGTCCCCGTCCTCTCACTCAGTTTGCTACACGATGCTGCTCCAAACCTGCTTGATTGAATATTCCACTCAATGTTTTATCAAGGGAATGCCTGCCGAATCCCAACGTACCGTCTCGTACCAGCAGACAACGTGCTTCGATACCCACATTCCCTGTTGCTTCATTGACATTGCCCCATTATATCCGCTCTTGGCCAAATTCATTCCACTTTGCGACTTTCATGAAATCTGTCAAAAATATTTTCACTCAATCATCGATATTAAATATAACAGACTCCACCTACCAGGAATACCATTAAAAGTCGCTTTATAAAGTTCGTAGATAAACGTACATAAAAACATGTTGGTACGAATGATTCATGATTTCAAAATATCATTCGCAACCGTATCTCTGCTTCGTATCCGATATCATATCGTTCAACGGAAATGAGTCCGATCAGCTTATCAAGCACGCTATTCTTTGTACCAGTGTAGAATTCAATTCATACAATTTCCTGGTCGATCGTTGATCCGATACCAGATTCCGGATAAGTCTGTTAATGCAATGCGAATGCCTACCAAGCCACTCGCGTATATCTAACACGTTACAGTCGCACACTCTGGGAATGCTTGGTTATCCGCCATCGGGAATCCAGACTCTCCACTCTCCCGGATATTGACAATGGCCGAACTCGTAACACGTTCTCTCACGTAGCTGCATAGAAACTAACCATAAACAGGCTTTTGTCCACCCCTGTCCTTATCCACTGGCTCGTCACTGGGATCGCCAAACCTCTTTTTTTTTCAGCCATATCCTCCTCCCGTCCTCTTTCGGGAAAAAAATGTTCACCACTGAAACCAAGAATCGACCAACCTTCATTCTCACGCATACCAACCCTCCACACCAACCCCGATCATGAAGCTCTCTTCCACATCGGCAGTTTTATGCCTGCTCTCTTGGCGAACGTCGAACGCCGAGCTCTCATAAACCCACCCTCACAATAGCTCTGTCAGGGTTTAGGGGCTTTGCCGCGGCGCATCTTTGATATCCAAATAACATTTTCCCCTTCAGCGGAAGCCACCGCGAATGAAACATGGCGGCGTTACGTGATAATAGACTGTGATACGCAACGGGCGACACGTCGAAACACCGTCCCTTCCGCACTCGAAAAATGATATGTGGCTGTAAAATAAAGAGAAAAAAAGATCATGCAAGCTGTATACGTATACCAACGTATCTACATAAAAAGATGCGTATAATCAATACAACTCACGCGAGAGCTTGTCAAACGCTTTCTAATCTGCGTTTTCCACGTACTCGTTCCACCTTTTCAAATTTTCCCGCTTCGATACCAGCGTCCGAGACTTGCGGTTTTTCCAGGGTACACACAGTCTGGGTACATAACAGGAAATGCCTCGAGAGTAAGTGTACACTCTTTCTGCAATTCTTTTTCCTTCCTCCGTTCACCTTTCTATTCAATTTCTCTGTTTACCTTTCGATTTAATCATTCGAAATGGCCTTTTGTAGCAAGCGCCAGAGACCTCTGGTGACAGTTTCGGCTACTACGGTCCAACCTGACCATATTTGGATACGCTATCACATTGTACGATGTCACTGCCTGTATCTGACTTCTACACTGGCAATGCGTATAAATCGGATACAGTGCAGAATCCAACTTTTGACAGCGGCATATACCTACAGGCTCTATCGCAAATGAATACTCTTTCCCTGCGATACGTCGGGAAGTCGCGACGCTCCAGCCATTGACATTCACTCGCACGTTGGCTTCCCTCCCGAGCACACAGCATATGCATCTATATCTATATAGTATATTTGAGGTTATGTATATGCCATTGCCATACTTCTTTACTACGTCGATATCGTGCGTCAGCTCGGTTGGGCCAGTATATTTCGTACTGGCAAGATACTGAAATTGAATTTACCTATATACAGCCCATTACGTAGGGAGGATGTACACGCGATACCGTCGAAAGCCTGCCACTGACATTTTACTCGCAAACTGGCAGAGAATGGTACGGCGAATCGAATCGGACTATCCCTACTTATTGCGAACGAATAAGAAACGTTTACCTATTCAGTGGGACCTTTTCCTTCTTGAAAAACTTCAATAGAAAATGTCAGGTTACGTAACGCGACCCGATCGTTATCACCGAATGATATTACGAGTATAATGCATGAGAATATTTCTTTTGAAATCTATAGACCTTCTGTATACAATAACTGCGCGGACAATCGTGCTATATCTATTAGCCATGCCAATAGACGTGATAGCCGTTATCGGGTCAAATGTATGTACATAAGGACACCCGGTAGCAGATGGGACCATACGGAAGATAATGGATCGATTGTAAATCATAGAGAAAGCAAAGGCATCGACTGTATAGTATACGTAGAAGGGAACGGATTCCACTATGCCTATAATACGAAGAATCTGATAGAAACGCTAGTAGGAACTCCTGGGCAAATAACGTGTCTGATTTATAACCGGATCACATACCCCATCAAACTTTAGGAACATATTAAACTTTTATAACGTCTATGGAAATTATGGGATTTAACCTTAGTAAAACTTATACCTTATAGCACGCAGCATATAGAACTGGCATCTTTCTTTCACTTGGGTTACGAGACACGCGGTTTTCAATCCTGTCGCATCCATCAATGTCCTTTTGCACGATGCCAGGATATTTATGTTCAACCGCGATGCTTATGGACCAACCAATATCGAGCCTGAGTCAAGTATAGATATGGATACGGTAGATCCTGCCGTGAAAGGCAGCTCGAGTTCTGATCATAAGCAGATGTCCTTCCTTCATAAAAAAAATTGATTAAAAGCCTTCAGTGATTGTCGTCCGTTCTTGGCGATGCTAATTAGTCGGGTCATGCGTGTGAATCAGCTGTTTTTGACAGCTAGGCTTTACTGGCCACACGAGAGACATCGAAAGGGACCATTTTATACGGAAAAAACGTAGTCGGTCTGGTTGACATAAAAATTTGCATCTGGAACGAAGATTCGTGTGAGTGGGGTAAAAAGTTGAATGAATAAAAAAAAATAATGATACACCTGGTATATAACCATTCGGAACATGAAACCACCGCAAAAATCGTGTCGAGTTTCTTGTTTGTCCTTGTTTCAGGTCTTCTCTCAGGTCGACGTCTTCTTCAGCATTGCTGGCCAAATCTATGCCGGAGAGCCCATCACTTATACTTACATGGAAGACAAGATGTTCGAGACGTCGCGCAACATCACCATCAAGCTTCACCATCGGGTCGGCAAGTTCGTCAAGCTCAGACTTCACTTCTCTGCCAGATGGATTATGATCAGCGAGATAACCTTTGACTCTGGTGAGCATTCCGGTGCCTGTATACGTTATAGATATATATGTGTACCTTAATTCTTTGATTTCTTCATGTTACGCATGAACAGTGGATATCGAAGTTGTATTCGTAAACTTACACTTTATCGATATTTTTTAAAAACGCGAAGGATCAGTGGTAAAGGGAGAATTTTACGTAGATATATAATTTTGGAAAAAAAATAATTAGCTCGAAAAGGGATCGATTCTTGATTTAAAGGAAATAGGCCTTCTGCGCATGACAGACAACAGCTTGTGTAATGATACGCGAAACAAATCCTCTCGCGGTCGATGGGAAATTTTTTTTCTTCCTTTCATTTACGTCCTCTTAGGTCCTGTATTACTCTCTCTCCCTCTCTCTCCCTCTTTTTTTTTTTTCATTTCCATCCCTGCCTCTCCCACTCCCTCTTCCTTCGCATTCTGTCATGTGCCATTCCATTTCGACGCGACTAACCCTCGCTGCGTCTGTCAATCACGGAAAAATAAACCCCTCCTAGTGGGTTAAATTGATATACAGTAACTGACAATGGCTTATCGAGAATCTGTCAGAGTGCGATTTAAATGAAGCAGTCCTCGATTTATCGACTGGATTGAAGTTTTAGCTACGCCAGACGTGAATGTACGGATAATTATTGTTATCGTTGCCATTATTATTATGCGAACGAGACACCTACGTATGGATAGAGTATCCTTTGCCGTTTGGTAACGAGATTTAAAACGCATGACGCTCGATTATTCGTCACTGCTGAATTAACGAGACGCCATTCGTCGCGACGCTCGTGTCGTACCAACCACTTCTGAAAAGAAAAGTAAAAGAACCTTTGCTCTCACAACTTCATCACGGTGACGGGATAGATCGCCGTGTTAAACTCGACGACTTTTATTTTTCCTCAAAGGCGCTAAGCGAACCTGCAGACGTCTCTGCGCAATAGCGTCGACTGAATATGCATATTATGTATAGGTAAACATCGGTCGGTAATTCTATATAAATAAGCGTAGAGAGTACGTCGATTGATGCCCTGCGTATGCCATTCACTACATTTTCCGCCCTTTGTACAGTCTGACGTAGTTGGCAACACAGTGGCAGTGGCAACCACGGCGGGGATGCCAGTGATACTGAAAGCTCACACAGTAGATTGCTAATGATGCTGCTACCCGCTTTACTTTCATATTCGTGGTTTTGTCCATTTCGAATCCCCCTCGTGTACAAACTTGAAAATCCGATTTATATCCGCTCGTGCCAAAAGCCTGCGGGTATATCTATATATTTAGTGTCGGTACTACGAATCGTATAAGGGTTGATGCTTTTTCACAGTAATCTCTTGAAACTTACGACAGTCCAGAAAAAAAGGTAGACTGAAGGGACCTTGTCAATAAGTTCGCGCCATTTAAATCCTGCCGTGTAACGTAACCGAGGGCGTCTCTAAAGGGAGCTGGAAAATAAATAAAAAAATAATTACGTCGAAAAACCGTAAAATCCCACGGGATTGATATGGACTTTAATTAGATTTATATTTGAATTCATTTGGTTCCCTGGTGACTTTGGGCTGTGGCGTCGAGATGGCGCCACGTAGCTCATTGGAAAACGTTGCGAAATTTTACGCGTCGACATTTATCGCGCCACGTCACATCCTGTCGCTGTTGTGAACGCTTGACTTCTCATTAACGCTGTATACCGAAGATTTTACCAGCCTTGTATCAGGGATATAATTAGACAAAAGACGATTACGAGGAAGCTATCGTAGCGGAAGATGCGGATGCTGCGTTTTCGTAACTCCGTCTCTTGTACTCAAGCTTGACTTATTGAAATCTCTTTCTCTCTCTCTCTCTCTTTCCCTGTCTGTGTTGGTACATTCAGTTCTCGCTTATGAAATCTTCCGCATTTCTGAAATACAAATAATCTCAGTTTTAAACGTACACTGGGTATCTAGATATCTATTTTGTACTTACTTCCACACCCTATATATGTGGCCACTCGAAAGATTTCATATAAGAGATGTTCTATAGATATATTCTGATACATGACTCTATATGAAGGAACCAGCTTTAATCGTGGTTCGTTATTCTCGACCCACTTTCCAAAGCTTCCAGCATCCCGTTTCCTCAAGGAGATCCACCCTCGTTAAATCTTGGTTGAGATTGGAATGGAATAGCAAAGAAAAACAAGATTTTCACATATCATCCTCGCTGATTACACGTGCTGCGATACCTGGTAAATTAAATCGTATTAAATTTAGACACGGTGTATATAACTATTGAAAGTTTTTCCCACGCCCCACGACGTCCATGACCTGCGCAATCGCGTTATTCCGCAAGAATGCACTGACAAATGGACAAAGGTATGATAAAAAACAAAAAAGAAAAAGAGAGATAAGTCAAAAGAATCATCCTCCTAAATGAAGTTCACGGTGAATTTCCTTTTGCTGCCGTAAATCAAAGGGCTTAAAATTGGCAAGGAGAGCACTCGGCCGAGATCAAGGAGTACATTAGTTGAGTTTGACGTTGAGCGTCAGCTGCGGGTGCACGTGCGAGCGTCGTCGTCGACAACCACGACAACGACGTCGACGACGATCGTTTGCCATCTAGAGCCAGTAAATACAACCCGACGCCATTAGAAATATCCCATAAGAAAGAAAACTCCCGTCACTGATCCAATGAATAAAGCAGAAGTCGAATAAAAAAAGACGCCTTTAAACAGGGTCGGGGATGAAGTATCGTTAAAATTGAAAAATCCAATACAGTATATAATGTCAAAGGTGAATTATGAAATACCACAGAAATTTTTTAGGCTGTTTATCGCTGCTCCTTTTTTTATCTATAACTATATATAGCCACCCTTCTCAGCTCGCTCATCCTGCAAAGAATGTTTAATATCAGACTTCATACGCGAGACTCTCCTCGGCACGCAAAAGCGGGTATCAAACACGACGACAGCTTTGTTTCTGCGGGATAATCCAGCGGGGAATTCGTGGCCGCATACCTGGAACAATCTCACTGAAGCATTTCTTAACGGGATATTATATAGTGGATAGGTAAAGCAATACTCGGCGTTGCAGTTCTATCTAATAATTCAGCGGACCCGCCTGCCTCCCACTGCTTCGTTCGTACGCATAAAAATAATGTTTAAGATAATAAAATTACAGGGAATCAGATTCGCAGGATACTTTTGGCGGCTTTGTCTATTGGATGGAAAAAGTTATTAATAACTAGTAATATCTATTCGTCTCACGCAAAATCATTGACTCGCTATACATCCCCTGTATACGTACTGAATATCGCAGTATCCCTTAGATATACACTGGATTAGCATTAGTGCAGTTTGCCAAAGTCTATCATGAGTAGTCCGCATCCAGTCGCATACGCAAGTAGCGACGGCGTCAACGTACTTGGGATATTCCTATAGGCCGGCAGAAGTGGTTCGCACGGGTATGTATAATATGGACAACTCAGCTATTATCAGGACTGAAGTATCCAGATAAGAGGATGGGATACTCCAAACGGTATAGGGTTTGAGGTAGGTTGACGAGGATGATGACAAGGCAGTATTTTCAGAAGCGACAGGACCGTCGCAGTTAAGCATTTCGAAAAAGTCTCTCGTCGGTCAACTGAAAGCAGCCTGTACTCGCTAGGTGCTGGCCTGCATCGAGTCCCACGTTGTTTGACTTTCTGGAAAGTGGTCCTGTGTCAACAAGAAGCGCGGAACTACTTTGTCTACGTCGTCGGTATACGTCGGGTCTTTTATCGCTGGGAACTCATCAATATTAACCTCGTGATAACCTCCCGGCTATTTTCACGTCCGCGCTTAAAATCATTCGTACTAGGTACCTGCATGGGCTAAATCGTTGAGCAAGCAAGTTAACGGGAATTTGTAACTTGGTCACTGTGCTACGGTACGCATAGATAGGTACTGATACGCCAGCCAGAACGGTGGGTTGGTACTGCTCCGACGTGAATCGATAGGTACGTGTGGAGCGATCGATAATAACATATGAGAATCCATCCGTGCACGCATGGTACATACGTGCATTAGACGTAGCTTTCGTCATTGCTGGTATCAGGTAGTCATAATTTTTTTCATATATATAGACATAGCCCATGGGAATTTTACACCGGAGGAACTGACGTCAACGGAATCACCAGTACTCAGCGACGTCTTGTTCAAGAAGGGTGGTGCGTCCGAGGGCGAGCTTCCGGTATCCACAGCGAAGCACGACGATCCTACGTATATGGCCGTTGTAATTGGAGTCCTCACTGCCGTAATCCTTCTCCTGGCAGTTGCCATATTCCTCATCGTATCCCGTCACAGGCAACGGAAGTGCTTCGCGAGTCCCATGACAGGGAAAGCTCCATCTCACCTGGGCTCCACCTGCGCTACCGTGGAAAAGGGTGCAGCCCTTATGGCTTATACCTTGGAGGACGACGAAAGGTATAGATATACAGAGTCAATTGTTTGTCCTTGGTGTATCCAGTGTTCTACCTTTAGTTCAGCGAACACCCGAAAGATGGCGCCAATTGAGTCTTCTAATCGGTTTCTACGTACAGGTATGCCGGTGGTTCTCTGCCTACCCTACCACGGGACTTGGGTAATCGTCTTTTGGACATCGTGAAACTCGACGATTACCAGGAACCTTATCAGGCACTGAAGTACGCGCCGTACTATAGCTACAGCACTGTCGTTATGGAGATGAAAGACATGATGCTGAACAACAAGAGCGTCAACATCAATCACTCAGGTATGCGCCGTTCGAACGCACACACGGTGGCTCGCGTTTACCGTGCGAGCAACAAAGCATTCGCCTGACCGCAATCAATACCCCTTTGCTATATCACATCCCACAGCGGTCTACGCGAACGGTGCGGTTGACACATCCTACGATTACGCGGTACCGGAACTTGCTGCGGGTAAGGCGCCACTTTTGAATGCGGATGCTGGCACGTTACGTGGATCTTCGAGCGACCAGGAGAGCGTCTTCTCGAAATTGTCGTCCCGCAGCAGTAAGACCGAGGACAAGAAGGTAAGATATGGATGATCGGTGACCTGGACCTTTGATGATCAGGGTCCTGGGCCACTTTGACAATGAAGGGGTCATCACCTATCCGGGCTACACGATAAGAGCCAAACGGGTATCCAAGGAGTTGTAGACGAATTATACCGTGGACTTACTTACATCCATGTTCAATGTAACGTGCACACACGTGGTCATACCCTAGGGTCCCCAACTGGCCATTACCTTGCATGACTGACCAGTCGAATTTCAGGAGTGCCCGTTAAACGTGCGTTGCACTCGCCAGGGAGGAGGGAAGCGGTTCGCGATTAATAATTTAAATCAATATGGCAGAACGGCCGTAGACCATTTGGGGTAGATATATCTCCCCGGGGGTCCTACGCTGTATTCTGTAACACCGGCGTCCCGGAATACACCGCCTGGGGCGGCAGGAACAGGAAGCCTGCGATAGCCTCCGTGCATCGTAATACCAGATACGTCCATGTAACTATATAATAGATATACTCCTGGTACGAACTGCAAGCAAGTATTCTCCCTTCAATATGCCCATACCATACGTGGACTCATATGCATATCGCGCATAATCTCAGGATCTCTTGGACACCAGAGTCACAATCTTTGATTACCCGTTCTATCGTTATTTACGAATTAACTTTTTTCAGTCCCCTCCGTCCCTGTCCACATACTCACATATGGAATGTATGATCATTATGCGCTCCACTGGCTCTTCGCCTCTCTAAAATCCTTCGTTAATTGCACAGACAAAAGGGACCAGGACCATCGTCCATTTCGTGGCTGGTTTCCATGGGATATGGTTGGCACGGGTCCCTCTTCATATCTCGACCGCATGTGTCCCACGCATGCCAACATCGCAAAAATATCTGCGGACACACTTCTCCCCGTATCTTTCGACATAGCACGAGTGCCATCCTTCCCGCGATAAATTCCGACACAATGCCGCATTCAATGGAGCATTCCACACTCGAAATTGCTCGTCTACGTCGAGATGTCTGCGCGTGATTGACGCGTGACGGCGCCACTCGAAACAGTCAAAACATTTCGCTTGAAATCCCTCAAATATCCTTCCGACCCTCTAACCATTCATACCAACCATACCCCTAATAACGATACGCCCACAAATCGTTTCCACGTCCCGTGGTTTCAATCCGCGCGAAGCCGAAGTAGTAGAGGCACTCGAGCAACAGACACCGATAGTACTTGTCAACTAGAATCTTGTGTTAATTCGATTAAAGAGTTATTCTCTGATTTAGCCAATATAGATATACACAAAGCTCCACGGTAATATAGTTGTTTACCTAATTGATTTTATATTACCCAAAAAGGCTTTTTATTTATTTTCATATACATTGGCTTAGCGAAATCACTGCAGGGACTAAGATTACTGATGTCTTTATAGCGTGGAGATTTTACACGTATAAAGTCATAGTCCTCCAGCACTGGATACCCGTTTTGATTTATTACGTCCAGCCAAGCCGAGCGCGGGCTTTTTGAATTTTTTTTACACTGGCTCTCGTGTACGGATAGCGTGATCCTCGATCGTGTGTTATCGAAGCTGCATGAGGATCGTCTTGCAGTCGCCGACGCAACAGGAGGTTCTTTCTGCTCTGAAGAGGCGCCTGGAACAGACGAGCGTGCCGCTCTTCCCACGCCATCGTCTTCGGATGCTCTCGAAGCTCGCCGAAGGGGCCTTTGGAACGGTAAACTCACGATCGTCGACGCAGAGCGTCTCAGCTGAGTCGAGGGAGCGTCATTATCGCTTCTTAATTTCCAATCGGGCTATATACGATATATATACATACGTTTTGTAAGGAAGACCCGAGCAGCAGGTATATATACCTTTTGCTAGACTGGAAACAACAATGGCGTCACGATGCGTCCATCCTCTCTATACAGATAATTATGAAATCAATCCACTCTGGCACTTCGTGACGTCGACTGGTGAAACTTCGGCGTAACCACGAGTATACGTACAATGGAGTTGCTTAACAAAGAATAACGTGGTATTCTTCACGGGATAATGGGGCCGCGTTGAATTCTTAATAATCAGTTTGGTCCGCGTCGATGCAGCCAATAATTTCGTTTTGTCTTTTAGATGCAACTATATAGCGACCATGCCTCGGCGCTCTTGTCGACGGCTTTATGAATCCTTATTTCAAATGCCAAGTCACACTTCACACTGTGAGCTCCGTTGGCTCGTGATTTAGCATCGTGCTCGAAACACGCACTCGGTCTGTAAAGTATTACTTCCTGAACCGTGAGAAAGGTGGTACTTTCCTGATTCCAAAGATTTTCGATGAATAATAACACCACGGATGTATAATGCCCAACGCGGCTCTGATACCGGCGACTGGCCGGCTGATCTATCGGCATCCTTTTTTTTTTTTCTTCTTTTTTTCTCAAATTTAAACGACGCTCTCCTCGGCATAGCTTACATAGATCCCCGTTGTCTATCTGCGGCCGACTTGTAAGAAAGACAAATGTATGCTAATAAAGGTATACGTGGCGGAAGCTGAAGGGATTCCGGAGTACGGGACGACAACCACCCTGGGCAAGAGGCTCGTCGCAGTAAAGTTTTTACTGCCTGAGGCTAGTGAAAAGGAAAAGTGAGTATACGTATATATATATATACACCATTCTCAATTTGCATTGTTTTCCTAGGGTGGTAGTTCAATCGATCTTCACTGTAAGTTACTGGCACCTCTTTTCACTTGGAGCATCCTCTGACCTGACACCGTGGCACCAGCCGCCATGGTCATCAGCAAACTAGCAGCATAATGCAGCTGCTTTTTATCCATTAAAGCTTTTTCTCCTTGCTTCTCTATGAGGAACTGTAATCCCACCCTGGCGATCGATCACGCTGATACGACGTGCAATTATTATTAGTTGGTATTCTCTTAGCTCTGGCTCTTCTCCAAATTTATTGCAGATCCTTATACATATATACACTCGTATAATGGCATACGCCATTTCTTTTCGCATAATCGTGCCCAGTTCTTTCGTTTAATCTTGCCCGCCGTGGCCCAGCCTCAGCTACCCGATTAGCCCTTCGGAAGCAGTCATCTAGATTCCGTGAGAACGATTATTTCTTCCTTATCCAGCTAGACATCAGAAAAGGGCGAGTATCCACTGTAACTTCCTTCGACGAAAGCAACGCATTTGCATACAATGACCGGGAGACGAGGAGACACACTCCTCGACTCCTCGAATCCCAGACCAAGCGCCAAGTCGTATACCGACCGAGGATCAGCTTCTCGCCGAACGACCAGGTCTCATGAAGTTTTGCGCCCGTTTGATTTTCACGAAAAGCCTTTGACGTCACCGCGCTGTTCGTTGCTCTAGACGGAATTACACTGACAGTCGTATATAGCATATAGATACTATCGGGTCAAATACCCCCATCATCCATCGCTCAAGTCCAAGGTCGCTTCTACCTTTGATTTTCTACCGTTTACCTTCGGCAGACCAGTTTATCGATTATCTCTCAGGTTCACCAGGTCTTCTCATTTCTGGCTGTAGGACGTAGAAAGGGGAACTTTCAGAATTTCTATGTGAACTGTACCCTGTTCGCTATTCCCATGGCCACATTTATCCCCAACTTTCTATACGCTCGTGGATCAGGCTCCGTAGTCAGGCTCATGGCCTATCATTTGCTAACACCATAGAAGTATGGAGAAACGACATCCAGCTCGTATTGAGGTGTTTTTTATGCCGGATTATAAATGAGGGAAGCAGATGATCGTAGGTGGGCGACCAAGAGGTGTCGGCGTAGTCTGTGCTGACGGGAGATAAGGATGTTTTATGTGTCAGCGCTGGTATCACGTCCCGCAGCCCAACTCCTACCAGACACTTTATTAAAAATAACATAGCGTGGCGTCGACTCCCCTCTTTCTGGCGAATATCACCCTTGTGCCGTTACCGAGTCCTGCCCGCCCTTGCCAGCTATGGCTGTGCATACCATTTTCCTTAACGGCCGATTCTCTCGTGTTTCCTTGCCCCAGTCACAGACCGTGTTAAGACACCCTCTCCGAAAGAAGGACGTATGTAGATTATGTTGGCGTAGATTTTCTCAGATAGACCTTTTAACCCCTGAATAGCTGTTGGGACGCTGGATTTTATAGAGGATCCTGATAGACTTGCCTGGTATTTCTATTATGTATATACTTATTTAGAATGGACCGTAAATTATTCTTATAATACACTACTCCGTTATTGTAACTTTTTATAGATTCTCATAAAGCTACTTTCAATTGTTATTCAAAAACAATAGTCTCTCTATGACACTCGTATAGGTATTAATTAATTTTTTATCAGTTGTATAATTGACAATGACAGCTGCTCTACGACAGGGTCATATACTTCGTATTACAGTTTGGCGTACCTATTGGTAATATCTCGAATATGCTGTATATACTGGTTCGGCAACCTTCTGAGTTTATAGTTAATCAATGCCCGCTATAATTTCGTTAACAAGGGTATTAAGCCATCACGCGAGAATACTATTACGGGGGACCCGTCGTAAATACGAAGCAGCATGGGGGACACGTAAACGCAGTTGGGATTCTCATTCGTGCCAAACTCGCCGAAAATTCAGGATTCTTATTTCGTTAATATTCATTCTGTTCCTCGTTCCGCGCTGTGGCTCGCAGATGAAATATGCATTGATAAATTATACACACGTTAATCCCGTTCCCTCGTTAGATTGGACTTTCAGCGAGACGTAAGAATCCTGGCGGCACTCGAGGATCGCAACATCGCCAGAGTCCTTGGCGCTTGCTGTCGCGAGGAGCCATTTTGTGTTGTAATGGAGTACCTTGAACACGGGGATCTCTGCCAGTTCCTGAAGACCCACATTACAGCCGAGGATGCTCACTCCATGCCGATCGGCGTCAAGACTCTAAGGTACGATCAGTTATATTAATATTCGTAATACGTATACGTGTTATAATATGCATCGAGATATACAAGTCGAGATACGTGTCTTAATAACAGTACCAGAGAATCCAATTGATATAGTATCATTTGGTACGTAATGGCAGTGTATAGATATGTGTATATATATATATATATATATATATATATATATATATATTGACGACTGATCTTTATCTTTGATTTTCAGCTTCAACTGCCTCATCTACATGGCGGCGCAAATAGCATCTGGTATGCGCTACCTGGAGAACCTTAACTTCGTGCACCGTGATCTAGCGACGAGGTAAGTCGTAGTATATGACAAATAAGAAAGTTCATCCTCGTCAACCTCCAGTCTAGGATACCCAGGTGTTCGTTTAACCGGGTATAAACTAGTAGCTTGTATATGCTGTGTATATAGGAGTGGCATTCCCATGGCAGAGAAGTGAATTCGCAGGCAAGCGTTGAAAATTCAATAAGAGTGTAGGTGCGCGTATCGATTTTTCTCTTGGTCAAATTAAGTTATTCCGCCCTGGAGTGTATTTCCATAAGCCAAAAACAAATACCCCCCCTCCCAGCACGCAGCGAGAATCGCTGGGGAAATCATTGGTCGATTCGTTAGCGCGACTCGCCCAAGTCGACTCGTAAAGCGGGTGCTCGTGTCGTTCTCAACCAGCCGAAGCCAAAAGCATCTCGGGCACGCTTAAAGCCACAATTCTCAATGGGTATCGTGATGGATCTTTCGCGAAGATCTGGACTCCCCTGTGACTTTGTAGCAGGGCTGAGTATTGCCACCCTGGAGAAATTTACTTCTTTCAGGATTCACGGCCGGCAAATTGTCCGATAGTTACGTTACGTTTCCGTACGGTCTGGTGGGTCTGGAAGAATTTATAACAGATATCTGGCCTTATCTACACGGCGTATAGACCCGCCTAGACAATTGAATTTTTATTATATAGACCGTGAATACGAGTCCATGCGAATGAACTCTTGACAAAGTGGCAGATCTTTTAAATTGAAACCTATCGCTTGACTGTCAAATTTATATAATATTCTCCCAGTGAGCATATGTTCCTTCAAGGTAAAGTACTTCTACCTGCCAGTTCTCTACTCGTTCAGGACGATCCCTCTCGCAGCGATCGCTTGTAAATCTTCCTGAAATACTCGTGGATTCTATTATACGAGTATTACGACTCTACAAATCTACCGAAGGATTCGATTTAATAGTAGCGACGAAGAACGGACAACGCGCGTCGCTCTCGTGAAATTACGTCTTTACGACTGGTCTCGAAACTCAGAATAATTCAAGCAGCTGCCGGTAGGGGAGTGGCGGTAGTATTTTTACGAGAGCTTTGATTTCGAAATACAGTCTAAAAACTTATGAACTTTAATATCGCACTGGTTCAATAAACGTTGCCGTGTATACCTATGGGCATCGTGCCGTACGTTTTGTCGGCAAAGAAAAATCAATGAGTTACTCGCACGGTTTTCTCTCGTTTCTTCTTCAATTTTTTCTACTGCACATTGACGCGCATGCGCGTGACAAACGACAACGAACATTCGAATGACAGCAAGCAGCAGTGTATATCTCAATTGACTCACGAGTTACAGCACCATAAATGTCTGAGGAGTCCACTAAAAATGACTTAGGGCATATGACGGTATACCGTGGAAGCATAAAAACAGTTTTGTACCTTATAACACGAATATGTGCAGTGTCGGTAAAGAAGTTTCAAAGACGGAATTAAACGCACGTACTATGAGCTTTGAGGTTAGAAATTCTCTAGTACGGTAACATACCGCAAAGCATGCAATACACCACCGCATACAGGTGCTTGCTTCAACCCACTGCAAGCCAATAGAAATCCTTTGCTTCGACTTGGGTTACAAATGTAGACAATTTTGGTTAGCCCTGGTGGAAACCTTCCTTGCATCTCATATCCTCTCTCTACGTGTACCGTGTATATCTCTATCTTGAATGCTACCTACCTATCTACGGTCCAGCCGACCACCAAGCACATACTCACCCCTCGTTGCGACTGAATCGAGCTCATTAATTATGCAGTCGTATGAATATTTCAACTGCAAATTCAGCATCGCCTGGTTACCCCCTATCGCCCAGGGTGACGGAAGGTAGCGCGAATGAGAAACATTCGCAGCCACCGCCATTCCGAGCGTGTCCCAGACGGACCAATTGAAACCCCATAAAACGGTCGATCGAACGATCAACTCCCGTTAATCGTTTGCGACACCCCCGTGGAACCATTATTTCTACCCTGGCTATATACACTTGGTATATGTATCTTTCACGTAGTACGTGGGTGTATTATTACCACTTGTTCCGCTGTGCGAACTAACCTTTATAAAGTAGCACGTATGCTTTAACGACAGTTGCATTTTCCAAAACGCCTATGGCGTTTATCCAAGTGCATGCAGATTATTTGTTCGCACGGAAACTTATAAGCTACATATTTTAATGAACCCACAGATGCATCTTGGTGTGTAATTGGAATATACAGACGAATTAATTTTCTAGAAAGCCACTGGCTATCTACCGGTACATAAACGTTGAATTCACTATAGCACATACCTAGGGGAGAACTTAGTACAGTAATGCCAATCTATTCGGATCGACTAAATACCTTGATAGTACAAATTGAAGCTCTGTTCCACGGTCATAATTGATTTCATCAATGTAATGACGTGAATCCTTGACGTTTGGCTACTCGAGCGGTTAGTGTTGTCCCCCTCAGTCAGTTTCCACCTTAGGTGCGTACATATGTATTTGTATACATAATGTTAACTTCTCTCGCTCGCTACCCCTTCGTGTTTCCTGGAGCAACTTAACTTTCCTCAGACCCCTATTTCCATATCACAAAAGCCTTAATCCCTAGTCGATACACCAAACTTCATTTTCTCTTGGCAACCCTGTATACGGACGGTATACATCGCGGACGTCACTACGTCATCCGTCCATCGCTATGCGTATCTACTTCCGGTTCGGTGCATGCGTAGAATGCGTACATGCATGTTGATATAGGAAGCCGAGCTATGCGCTGCATACCATCCGCATACAGGATCGATCTGACCCTTTGAATGTACAGCGCAAAACGAATTAAAAGCCATAGGATTAAATTCTAACCGAATGCCAGAGTTCGGGGAGCGTAAGTTTCTAGCGCTGTGAACTTGGGTAGATAAAGGCTAGTTTAGAGTTCGCTTTATAAAAGTAAGAAAAAAAAAAGCATTATCCCCTTAAAGTACTTTGAGGCGAACGACTTTGAGTTCCTTACGGAAAACGCCGAGGCGTCGATATTCCTCTGTGAGGCTCAGAGACCCTCTATCGACCCCTCTCGAATTAAACCCTTATCCGACTCTCAATATCTCTCATCGGACTTTTTCAGGAACTGCCTCGTCGGCAAGGCTTACCATATCAAGATATCCGACTTTGGCACCGACAACGAATTGTACGCCTGCGACTATTATAAGGTGGATGGCAATATGCCATTGCCTGTACGCTGGATGGCGTGGGAATCTGTATTTCTGGTTGGTTCATAGCGGCTTAAAATAATATTGATTTTTTTATAATAATTCGAATTGAACTTTTATGATTTTGATTAATTTTTTTGGCTTCCTTTTTAGGGGAAATATACGACTAAAAGTGACGTCTGGTCATTCGCTGTTACTCTGTGGGAAATATTGAATCTTGGAAGACGCGTGCCCTATGAACATCTTTCTGACCAGGAAGTCGTGGACAGTCTCAGGCTGTTGCACTACGATGACAGTGTCGAGGAGTCCAGTAAGGATGATGTCAGGACACTTTTTAATTATCTGTCACGACCCAATGCCTCCTCCAAGGACATCTACGATCTGATGCTGGAGTGTTGGAGACGGGAGGACAGTGAGAGACCGACATTCCGGGAGATTTCCCTTTTCCTCCAACGAAAAAACCTCGGCTACGCTCCCACGTCTTGATATTAGAGCGGGATCAGATGGAATTTTTGGAATTAAGTGCGGACGCGTTATTGGATTGAATGTTCGATACAGTAAGTTTTTATTTTTCAAGCATTTCATGTGCATTCGAATTTTAACAATTATGTGTCATTTTTTCAACATTTTATTCGAACGTCAATTCTCCATTTTGAGTAAAGGCAAAAAATTATATTACGCAACAAATAATTCAATTATATACATTCCTACGTTTGTGTATGAAAAAATACTCATTACTCAAGACAGATTAATTGTATTTGTTTCATAATTAATTTACGTCGCGAGACAACTTTACTTTTTACTGTATATTTTTTTTTTACCACCTACAAGCATAAGCCGACCATGATTGCATTTAGGAACTGGTGGCTGAGTCAGTGAAATTTTGTTTAAATTATAAAAAGACTTTTTTTTTCATATCTCATGTCTATACAACATGCCAGCGTGAGTTATAACGTCGAAATTTTTTTTCAACTTACATGAAAATAATGAGGGTAGAAAAAAGAAGAGATTCCACGAATTTCAAAAAATAATGATATAAATTCTCGCGCTCCTCCTATATTCCAATAAAAGTATATCAGTGCTGTATACGTGAATGGCGTAGAGACTTGCGAAAATACTATCGAATTATGATTACACGGAACACTTATCGTCAAAAGTTCGTGCGCGATTACTATCGTAATAAAATTACATAATGGGAACGTATGCATACGTAGAAAAAAAATTAGATCCGGGAATAAAAACAGATAGTGAAAATTATCCGTATTCCCCCCCCCCCTACCCCGAAACAGTAGTATGCTATGTAACCACGGCTATGACACATCATAATTATAACTTTATATAATAGGCGGGATCAATAAAACTAATATATTTATTGTAAATATAGAAATTAGTTGTGATAAGACACGTTAATACAGTATGTAAGTAATCACGTAGAACCGTGACGTCAGTCTCGATTCTTCCAACGGCACAAACTGAACACGTCACAGAGTCAAATTACCCAATCAATGAAAAAAAAAAACAGAAGCTATATGCCCGTACCACATATTCAAAATATAAATCTCAAAGTACCAAATTTCATTTCGCAATGATATATTTTCCCCCCAAAAAAAGATAGCCAGCAACTGGAAATTTTGTGTAATCGAAAAATACAAATTTTGAAAACGTATAACGAAACGAGCAACGACGCATTGATCGAAAGTCATATCATTGGATTACAATAATGATAACCAGAAAAGACATATCGGACAAGATGCTTTTATTTGTCTCATTAGACACGTCATGGCGCAAGGTGAAAAGAAAAACGTATTTTCTAATACCTCAAAAAATAATAATACATGACGAGTGATTAGAGTTTTTAGATGAAACAAAAAATAAAAATAAAAGTTTTTACACGTATCGATATTAAATCCATGAAAATGGCTTTCGACTCTTATCAGGAAGGCATGTAAGAAATATGCGTGTAGCACTCATGATATCTAATATTAAAATGATGTTACCGTTATATATTATTATAAAACACTATTTATATAACTAAAGGTAACTTTACGTATAAGATGTAAGTAGGTTGAGAATTAGTTGTACGTATTTAATGTATAAGCATAACGCTGCCTTTGGCTATAATGTTGCCCCTACTGCTAGCGAGTAACTTACTTGTCTACTCATGTGATAACTCGTACGGACTGATTCTTGCAAGATAATCAATTAATCTTTTAACGCCCATGTATAACGGATCAAAAGAATGGTAATTAGAGGAACGCGAATGAAAGTGATTAAAGGTGAGATAAAAATGGTTATTATTATTAGCATTATATCAGCGATGATTATAATTAGGCGTTAAATCGTAATTGATCTTTTTATGAGAATCGACCTATATATCTACGTGCATACCTATACCTACCAATTGTGGCTGTTGGCGAGAAAGGATAAAGGCTTAAAGTATTATCAGTCCTCTCTTAGAATCTTGTGTTAACACTCTTATCAATCATTTTTACATAAAACGATGGGAGATGAAATGATTCAGAACTTTTATTTTGTGAAATTATTTAAAAAATTATACAGGTCAATTGATCTCGCGAGCAAATACTATTTTAATTCGTATTTTGATCTTATTGATAGAACTGAAAAAAAAAAAGAAAGCCGTATCCTTTCCCTCCCTAGATACCTCCTGCAAGTCTCTGGTCTCTTCTGTTTGATCGATAAGGAAGCACATTGCGCAAACGTGAACTATGCTTGATTATCAAAGAGGTCTGTCAAGTATAAAAACAATCGACGACGTACCAATAGATTTTTCCTTTAAAATTGATTAAAGGGATATATCGATTATCGATGGATCTGATAATCAAGACTGTTAAAATTGAATATAAAAGTTTGATAACGACCAAGCTGATCCCTTCGAGAGCATTGAATTACGAAAAATCTCAAAATAATATCATACAAATTTAATCCAGCATAATTATACTAAACATGCACGAAACAAAAATACAAATAAATAGCCAACGAAGGGATTGAAATGCGCAAACGTGAAGAGTATCCAGATCCTGCAGGACCTTCGTTTTCATATATATAAGATTGAACGGAATTTTAAATAGTTGTTAACAATATGAATTAATTCCGCCAATCAATCGCGCCAATGTTACTAACCACGTACGTCGAAGTACTACGCACGTTTATTATTCTCGCACCTGTCGGTGAGCTCTACGTTAGTTTTTCATTCTCCACCACCTTAACGAATTCTCCCTTATCTACCATCTACACGCATCATCTTCATTCCATTCGTTAACCAGTCTTCTATCCCGCTGCCCTATTTACTTCTACCCTCTTAATTAGACTAACGACGAAACTGGCGACGATCATTAATCATGATCCTCGCACTCGTATGATTGACAATCGTATTTACGCCTTGAGACTGAAACGACCTATTCGTTCAGATAGATTCGAGTTCAAGCATCGCTATTGCAGCGAGAGGAAACGTGTATTAGAATAAGTGACTATTGTTTTTTTATCATTTATCTCTCAACTGTTTCTCCCTTTTACCTTTTCTCTCTCTCTCTCTCTCTCACTCTTTCTCCCTATAACTTCCGGTCAAATCATTACAATAACGTCCCCGCTACCTTCTTTCATCTTGTACATTATTTTAACACGAGTTACAAAGCCTCGCAGTTCCTCGCGAATATCCTAACCTAAAAATCGATAACTTAACTTTTATTAACCTCGGGAGCATCTAGGCAAGTAACTCGTGCCGAGGATGACTAGCATCGGGATATTAATATTAAAAAGAAAAAAAAAAGAAATTAATTAGTATATTATAAAACATACTAATTATATACATAATATGTATAGACAGTACTATCGGATTGTGGATTAATGAATTTTCTTGTATTATCATTCAAGAGCATAGGTTGACAGTGGATCATGAGATAGAATATTTGAATTTGACAATTTTTTTTCTACTTACTCCCCATTTGGCAGATCTTGTGGTTTATGCAAAAACCACTAAGGAATTGAAAGGCATATAGGTAATTGCGGAAGACTGTGCAGAGCTCACCCGGTTACCGTCTGTACGCTACTATACCTAATCGTTGTAATCGTAAAATTATTTTGTACTAAGGACTGTTTATAATTTTCTATCTAATCTCTGTAAATATCAAGGAAAGAATTGTCTACAACTCGTGTAATGTTAAAGCGAAACGATTAAATAGTCTATATATAGTATATATATATATATGTATACACTATATGGATATATTTTAATCGATAACGAAAGGATAATTAAGAGTGTAATTATAATATAGTATAATGACGAAATGGTAACGTAACGATGTACAACGACTTAGATAATATATCTGTATTATATAATATTATATCTACATTGCTAAGGGACAAATCGATATAACTAACTCGAACGATATATAAACGAAGGTATATATATGTTATTTGGTAGGTGTATATAATAATGTGTAGATTTTAACTAGTCATCTAGTGTACTTTATAACGCAACTATATCCACATAAAATTAGCGTGCGCGATGAGTAAAAAAAAACCGAATACGAAGAACAATTGTTAATTTCTAACTTCCGGCAATTTTGTTGCCCGTTCGAATATGCAGATTTTTACACGTTCGGACCAGAATTTAATTTTTTCACGGATATTTATTATGTTAAAATTACGTACAGAGCTATTTAAACAGTGACGAGTAAATTGTGGAGAATTTTTGAAAATTATTTTTCCTCATGGCTGTTATATCATTTATTGGCATGGGAATTTGCGTGAAAATTCTTTAAAAAATTTCGCCACAAATATATTGCGACTCGTTTAAAAATTGATCGAGTGCGAAATGTGCAGTGCAAATAATTGCTATGAATTAAAATCGCACTATGATTTCTCTATTGTATCGCACAGTCATCGCTGACAATGAATAACTGAAGGGTGCTTTTAAAGCAAAGATTATTTAACGAGCAATAAACGTGCATCGATAAAGTGACTAATAAAAATAGACGAAAAGTGACGCGATGACGTTCACCCGTCTAGATTATTAATTAAACTCGAGCCGTTGGGATTGTTAAGTAAAATGGATATAAAGGTATGACGAGAGGAGATATTCAATGTTAAAAATTGATACACACGTAAGGTCGATATGGAGTAATGATTTGCACGTATCATATGTTCTCGTTGATGTTCGTCGTTCGGCTAAACACATTAATGGACATACGCATTCCCATCTAGGCATAAAAAAGATATTAAGGCATATCACGTTCCAATAATGTGTCCCGCAATTAATGCCGACTTCGTACAAGAAATAATATCATTGTAAGATCTATACGTTACCTACGCTATACATTTCAATTTCGTAGCACATTAAACTAAACTGTAATTGCAATAATTATGAAAGAGTAATAAAAAAGAATTGCTCAAATGACAATAATTATTTGAATATAACCGACACAACCTACCATGTTATTCGTTTAACTCTAAGAAGACTTTAGCATCTTCAGGTGGACCAGAATAGGACCAGCACGAGCGCCAACTGGTTGCTAACTGCTGAACCTCAGAGTATCTACCATCCAATGGTAACTCACTGTTTCTTATAGCAAGATCTTCTCTAGGTATGCTTTTTTCCATGGTAACAGTCTAGACAGTATTCTATCTGGTTATCTGGTTATATCATATCGCACTACTTAAGTAATGAAACACGTCCATTCTACATTTCGTAAAGAACAAAGTGCTTTGATTAGTTGACCAGGTTGCCGCGCGGAAGCGGTCTGATCGGTTATACGTGGTTTTACATAGGTGGAGATGCTTCTCGACCCGTTACGATCCTCGCCAGTCGACTTTGCGTCGGGATCGTGTTCGCACGTTTCTCGTGCCGTCCAACCCGACTTATTTTGATCGACTCGTTTCCGTCTATACGGAGTCGATCAATTGATCTAATCGGGGTTGCTCGAATTTTGTCAATTGAGAAGGATCGTTCGGTGACTTTTTTATTTCGCTTTATTTTTGACTTCTCAACCAACTGAGTGCGTGCACGTACATTATCGTTTTACCGTTTGCTCAGACAAGTATAGCGTGTCGTACGGTTCAGGCAGGACTATGATCTGACAGGTACTAACACAATCCTGCGGATTTTCATATCGTTAAAATAATATAGTGATTCCTAGAAACACGTTTTGTGGTGAAAGAGTTATATGAGTTTCGGAATAATTTTTTTTTTTACTTTACTGAAACAACTGTTTGTTTGGATATTAATGATATTTAGTAAAATTTATAGCACTTGTTGCATTGAAATATTCATTATTGATTGAATATAAGAAAGGTGTCTAATAAATATTATTCTTGATTGGATTCTTAGTAATATGCATTTATCATTCTTGCTTCACAATAGAGATCAGTGAATTATTGCGAAATTCATATACATATATCCGACCTAACTGTACGACGATCGTTAAACAGAGGTAAAAAGGCGATAAGAGCGAAAGAGCAAGAAGACTAATTGGCTATCGAAGGAGTAAAAAAAGAAGTGACCAGAGGATAGTCATGCAAGAATGGAAGGAGGACCGACGATGATGAGCGAAAACAAATCCAGCTTGTTGAAGCAACACGGCAGTGCCGGGCGACTGGTAGTTATGGCCAAACAAAATAACATCCGAAAGATGAGTACTATGCCCGAAGAAGATGGTTCCGAAGAACCGGAAGAGGGGGAAATGCCGAAGAATCCTGTGCACTTTCAATTGCAAGCCTATCCGCAGCCGTACCATGACGTCGATTCGGATTCTCCACCCGAGGAACGTGGTCGCCTGCTGAGTCAAGGAAGTAGAAAGATCATCATTGCCCCAGCTAGCACGTCCAGTATTGGCTCAATGGTAAATAATGGAACGGTTAAAAGATCCAGCAGCGGTAATAGCAGTACCGACAGCGTGGTAGAAAAAGGTTCAGCCTTACCAAGAGTAGCCCAACCAAGGTTGGCAGCATTAGAGTCTGAACCACGTCTTTACAAGGAACATTCAGGACATACTGGTCGTGTTAGTCGTGGTGTGGAACTCCACGGAGGTCGTCATCGGTATCCTAGTATGCGATCACTCAAGTCCAATGCCACTGACGAACATCATCATCATCCTCCAGCCACCAGCTGGGCCAGTATTGTATTTTCGGATGCCAACAGTCAATCCGGAAGACCTTTCCCTGACTCCGTATCTATCCGCTCTCTTGCTTCCATCGGGATGGGATCATCGGATGGAAGGAAACTGACTATTCGCAGGGTACCAACCTCACCTTCGGAACTGCTCAATATGGTTCATCCTCCCACGTGAGTAAAAATCTACTTAATCCTAAAAAGGATATAATACCTAGAAGCACGCCAAATAAGTTAATAATCAAATTTTTCATAGAGAACATAATAAAACCAATGACTCATATACAGCATACCTACCAAGAGGATAAAGATCGTTTTAACAACTATACCAGCTTACTATTGTAACTATTGTAATACTTGGGTCTAACAGTCAGTAATGAGTTTGACCCGAATCGCCCCTAATCTCTTCTTGAACCTGAACGAAGCAAGGTATATGCATATTAAAAAAATAATGGAATACACCCACCTCTCGTATTTTACGAGACTCAAAATACTGTACGGAAAGTAGCGTGTTCCGGTAGAGTTATTAAGGAGAAATTTCAGTGACCGCCCCGACGGTCATGATACTTCAATCTATATACACGGTCATATCGAATTTAATATTTTATATCAAACAAAAGTTTCTTGCACAATCAAATTCCTCTTGGGCGCATTACACGCGGCTCGTATGAACGAACGAGCGAACACGAGCTATGCACAATGCCCTCGCACTTTCACTGTTACGCGCGTATGCATTAAACTCATTAAGGCATATCCGTGACCGCAACAGCGTTCCGTCAAACTGGATCTTTGAACTTCGCCATAGTATTTGCCTGCGGTATTCATACAGAGTATAATTATATCTTAATAGTAAAAATATCATTTGATCCTCGACATCCTCATAGACCACCGACGTCTCCATAACCAACTTTAGCGTCCTCGTAGACTCAAGTGATTTATGAATGAACGAGCTGACATTACTTCTCGCCTTGCTACTTTAGAGATAGCAAACTGCATATATCGCATCACTTTCATTGCGACGGACAAAAATTATTCTATTAACGTGACTTATTTATTTAACGTGAAGAATTGATAGTGATGGTTATACGTAAAGTGATAATTGTGACGTTTTCCTAAGACGGTAGACTATATTTTTGACGTTTTGGGTGAAAGCATAAGTGCGTTTGACTTATGATTATAAGTATACAGGAGAGATATGGCCGATTAGAAAAATATATGATTAGGCTTGTTTACATTATTTCTTAAGAAATACTTTCACGATATCACGTCGCTGATATCGTTACAATCTCTGCGAATGCCGTTATAAGTGGATCTGTTTATTTTTATGGATTTTATGTAAAAACGTGTAGCGTTGCTTTTACGTGTAATTCGTATATCGCTATTTAATTCGTAAATAATCGGTCGTTTGTTTTCTTTAGGCTAATTTATTATTCTTAGGATTCCCATTGATAGCTCTATCGCCGCTAATCGTTCAGGCTGTTAGAGGAGATAATCGTGGAGTAGCTGTATTCAAGGCGGTAGTAACGTGACTGCTAATCTTATAATTATTTAAAACTGTTAGTCAGAATAAACATTGGGGTTCGGAGAAAATTAAAAAAAACTCAACAGGTGGGAAGGAAATGTCAAAGTGCTCGAGGAATTTAAGAAAAATTATTTTCTAGGTCATTTCAAATTTAAATAGAACAAGTTCAGTTTCATAGGCGGTCTCGCTCTCGACTAATCGGACGGTCTCGTTGAAACCGCAAGGTTTGGGAACCGCATTTTTAGACCGTCTCAAGGTGAACTATCAACGAGTGCCAACCGTAGCGTCTGTGAAGTTTAGACGGAGATTTTTAATGGTTCTTCAAGAACAGAGGGTAGTGACGTTTACCTGTTAGGCATAATAATAACAGTTACGGATATTTAGGTAACGTATACGATTCATACTCGCTTAATATATTTCTATTAAAAATTTTTTCGAAAAAATTTAGAAGCTCGACATGCTTCCTTTATCGTAAGGGGATTTCTGGAAAAATTTAATCATCTTATTATTTCTTGAACGAAATCATCTTATGAGTGATGGATTGCGTATGCTTGTCTCTGGTATTTTATTTTGGGATATGTAACTTTATTACAGGTGCCAGACGATACCACTTGCTAAGTATCTTAAGTATCATAAACAGTTCAGATACAAATGACCCATCTCGTATCACATATGACATCCAATAAGGGGAAGTTAATGTGAAAGTCAAGCAGATTGTTATGATTTACATATTTGCACTACGACAGATGGTTCTTTAGGATAGGTTTTATATAATTTCGAAGACATCAAGTAAGAATCCTCAGTCTCGTCTTTATCCTCATCTCGGTAACTTCTAGTCCTGTGAACCGTATTTGAGTGGGAAAAAAAAGTATAGCTCCATGACATAAAATATAAAATCGAGTGATTTGCAACTTAACAATTTTTCAAAATATCCTTTGCACTTTCAATACTCAATTGGAAGTCGATTTTTAAACCGATTTGTGGAAAACGCAAAAATGCTGGACGCTAAACGTGCATTAGCGCAACGTGGACTAATCATCGACGGTCAACAATTCCAGCGTATCCTGCCTCACATGTACCGTAATATTTGTTCTCAAATTTGTATACCCTTATCAAGATAGTATTACCCAATATGACAGTTTTAAACAATTTACAATGGATCGTCAAGCACTGTCCTCTAATCAGCCCACAAATAACTTTATTGCCGGTTACCTAATACCATTTTGACATAGATTTAGATGATACATAAATAATGAAAACGGATTCTGTTTGTTTAGATCGTATGTAATTTCCATTTACCGAGTGTTTTATTAATTAAATACAAAGAGTTAAGTAATCGAGTAAAAGTTTGGAAAACTTTGGAGTCCTATCGAAATTATTCACCCAACAATTAGAAAAAGCGTGTTCAGCGCACCCGTGGCATAAGAGCGAAGCAAATATGGCGGGAACAGAAGAATTTTTTAAATTGAATAATTCAATCGACCCCTGTAACACTGTTCGACTTGATCAATCAATTATTTCGATACGTCACAGCACGCGTCTACTTACTATTAGTCATCCTACATATCCCGTCTCATATGTCGTTGCGCTTATTCTCGGAAAATAAAATTCGCTTGAAAGGGACTGCGACATTTTAAATAAATAAGACCAGTGCCGTCGTCACTGTATATTTACAGACTCTTAAGATCCTTCGAAGAATTCACAACGGAACGACCCGAAGACTCCTTGAAGAAAACTGCAGGCAAAATAATCTGTTGCTAATTAAATAATCACTGTAGCAATCATTCCGCTCTCGTGGGACAGTTTAACGTTTCACTGCAGCTCCATGTCTCATGAGAGTTCAACTCGACCAAACGACATAATACGTCCCACTACATAAATTGGCCACGTATTATAATTGAACCTAACAATAATTCCTCGTATCTCTTGTGTCAAGTAAAAGTTAGCATCCCGTTTGTGAAATTAGTCACTTGGGGATGTAACAAAAAATAAAGAACAAATTTTCACTCTATTTTACTCTCTTCGATATCCAAACTTACTGTGGCCAGTCCCCTAATTAACAGGCCTTACACGATCAATAGTCGTCACTCTCACCCACATTCTAATTACTTGAACTAATTCTAATTTATTCGACCATCGCCTCGCAAACTGTCACATTTGCACAGGCGTATACTATACATAACACCAAGTGGCGTATCAGGCCACGCTAACACGCCCAGTAAACTTGTTTTTACGAAACACTGACTACGACATTACACTGACTGCTCCTTACTCACTAATTATTCACTTATGGAATTGTACATTGACAATGAATATTCTTATGCATTTTGAACAAACTGTGACTATGTGAAAAGTAGTATAAGTTTGGGAGTTCTGGACCAGGAGACCTGTAACCGACATATACCGACACTCCAGAACCTTCGAAGGTGGGTGTCCGTGCTAAGTTGCCGTCGTGAGCTCTACGATTTCCGGAAGTGACGTCACCGAAACCCTCGACTCCAAGAATTTTCGCTCGATTCCGGGAATCGTAGAGCTTACGACGGCAACTTAGCACGGACACCCACCTTCGAAGGTTCTGGAGTGTCGGTATATGTCGGTTACAGGTCTCCTGGTCCAGAACTCCCAAACTTATACTATTGTGAAACTATAAAATTGGCTTATCTTGTGGACGCTCATAAATATCCAATCGGTGTGTAAAGATAACACAAAATTGAGCAATAATACATGTCAGTGGGACAGCACGGACTATTCCAAATCTTATATCTTTGAGAAATAATATTTATTTTGACTCGAGGCTAATTCTGGTTAAAGAAATTATACTAATAAAATTAAATTCTCAAATATGATTTCCAATGGGCCCATACATGCGTATCGTTCGATAAAGGCTCACGCATAATCGCAGTTACGGACAATCTCTTTGCAGTCAAATTTAATTCATCTGATCCATGCAGTTGAACCATACGTGAGCATATTTAGCGATATTACAATAATTGGAGGAATTGACTTTTTTTTCACCATCATAAATCACAATCTAATGAACATTAATTTAATTATGTATTTCGTACAGCGATCAACGCGTTTATTCGATTAAGTTAATTTTTCGATTCGTTGATTCATTGCGCTGGACTACGACCTTCTTTACGATGATAAGAGCCAAATTATTACTGAGTTAATTATGTCTGCTTCTGGAGCTCTAATTAGAGCAAATCGTATTCCGATAAATTTTTATCAATACACGTAAAAAAATAAAAATTTTAAATGCTGTCTCGTTGAAACTTCTCGACTCGAAAAACCCTCACGTTAATGGCCAAATTGAATTTGTTGTTTTTAAAAATTTTCAATAGGCTTATATACGTCGCCTACCGATGAGCTCCATTCTCTCGAAGATTCTTTGTCTTTGAAATTTTCTCAACTATTTCTATTGTCCGTAGCACGTTCAAAAGTTTTACACGCAACTTAATCTTGCGCGACAGTTATTTCATTTTACGCATAGCAATCATACCACAGCAATGAAAAGACTCACGTACATACACAGAGGTTTAGCTTACATTGCACAAGAGGCTTCATGATTTTTATGTAAATTTACCATCACGCCTTAATACGTTATGCATGATAATAATCATATTCTATTCTTGTAATACAACTGCAACACTACACTTAGTTACACGTTAAAAACTCATACCGCGGATAAGACCATAACACACGTGTAGATAATTACAAAATAATTACAAAAAGCCACGCGCTTCTGCTCACCGATCTCATAACGAAACAACACTGATCGACGAGCGATTCTTTCTTATCCTTGATACTTTCAAAGATAGTCATAACGCATATAGAAATTTTTAAAAAATTTTCCAAGAAGCAAGTATTTCATCCCAGAGAAAATCGCTCTTTTGTAGGAAAAAATCAATTTTTATTTCAAATATTCGAAATGACATTGCGCGCTTACGTAATCATATGTTTTCAAAGTAGTAATGCAATTCAACGCGTCATGCTATTCGTATCTTTTGATTTAAAAAATTTCAATTTTTTATACAAATATCGTCTTTCCAGACCCATCGAGGATGATCTATCTACGTGCACGAGTTACGATGACTTGGATGCTGACGATCCTGGCGATTACAGACAACCAAAAAGGCCGCACTGGGCGAACAAAGTACAATTTGTTCTAGCCTGTATCGGTTATTCCGTAGGACTTGGGAATGTCTGGCGATTCCCGTATCTCTGTTACAAGAGCGGCGGTGGTGAGTAATGTCTTCCGCTAATTTTTTTTTTTTACAAATCTTCTTCAACCATCCAAACGATAAAATCCAAACGATAATTACGAGCTTACTCCGTGCGAGTGTACCGGAAAAAAAAAGTTGCCAGCAGGCATCCACAGGATGCAGGTATAGCTCCGGTAACGAATTCACGTGTATCCGGAAAAGGAAGTAATTTGGTTGTTTCCGTTGGATTGAAATAAGCGGTAAAATTCAAGGACATTAATGGCAACTCGCAGACCTTACCCGTTAATCACGTATTAAAAGTAATAGAGCCTCGCCGGGAGATTAGAGAAATTAATGCGATTAGCAATTTTCTTCTCGGTCACGTCAATGAGATGCGTTACATAAAATATCTTATGCATACGTAACGAATTAATGCAAAATTCCGTATCCTTGCGTGGCCAAGAGACGCGATATCGGTGTACAAAAAAATTTTGTCTTCGTTTTGTAAAATAATCCAAATATGTCACTGCGTATAATCAGATGCAAAAGAAAAAAGAATTTAACGAGGAGCGAACATGTGTAACCATAAATAAACTTAGGAATGTTACAGTTTCTTTTCGTATTAATTATTGTACGTAAGCGAGTGTGTAAACTTGTTTTAACGTTTAGATTGATTTACAGTGGCAAGCCTGGTAAACACGGCACCTCGTTATCGCTTAATTATTACCGTTAATTATTATCATCGTCGATCCACGATTTAAATGTACTATGCGATTGTTTTCGTTAAAACAAGTAATATATATGCTACGCGTAATACAATTCGACGCCTTATAAGGATAAATCCATTTTTTTTTATTTTCTCAGGTGAAATTTTATATTCGTTGATTTATAATTAACGTCCATAAATTCAATATCGGGATACGTGTAATCTCACATGCGTCATGCAAGCAACGGATGTCAAGGTACCAGAGTCAGAATTTCCAATAATCGAATTGTCGTGCGCAATCGGCCGGGACAAATTCTTGACGTGATATTTTATCTAATCGGCTGTCCTCGTCAATTCAAGCCAATAAGAAGACTATCGCATATCGTCTATTCATTTTTTGATGTTATCTCAGGAGCAAAAAATCATCCAGAGATACATACAGTCAGACACAAAATTAAACATTACTTAGGTATAAAAGATAAAAGTCGGTACTGACTTTGAAATTACCTATATAATACATACGCTTACGGAGTTCCATTGAAATTATACGAAAAAAAAAAATACTTTTATCAACTTGCTACTGTATACTATTGTTCATTCAAGCCATTATTCATTATCTTGAAATCAAGTATGAGGGTACCAACGTATTTAGAACAAACTTAACCGTCTTATATATTATATAATTCTTATCAGTATCCTATTATTTAACGCCATAAACGTAAGAGCTCAGGATGATCATACGCTTGCGACACGTTTAATGGCGAATTGACTGTGGAACCACGTGCGACGCTTGAGACATATATGTATGTATATACGTCGCGTATAGCATTGACAGTTCATATCGTGGGCGATGACAAGGTCAGTGGATGTAACTCTTTATTCACATTAAACGGTCATTACGGATTAACTCACAGCTTGCTGCTTAATTCACGCCGGAACATTTGCACGAGCGCTGGTAGGTACGTATACGTATCCACGTGTGGCTGCGTCGCGTAACTCTCGGCGAGTATGCGAAGTCACTGGCAGACATATGGTTGCAGATACAGGAGATATCATTAGCGACAGCAATGACAAACAGTTATGGAATACGAAATTTTCGAAATTAACGTATTTTCGTAAATGAGATGTAGATTTAATGAATATCCTGTTACGGAATTGCAGGCTATCTACATAGGTATTAGAATTCTTAAAACTGCCAATGGGATCGTATCACGTAAAGACTGATTTAATCGGATAACCGGAAATGATTATTACTAATGTCGCAAACGCTTGGGAAGTTAATCATGTAATTCTCTTCCGGAATTATTATTGAAATTCTAAAAATTGATATCTGACAGCTGATCAATTTTATAGCACAAAAATCTTTTCTGTTTCTCCATCACGGACATTCATGGTCCCTCGAGGTCGTAAGAGTAATAGCGTTGGGTGGTCGTCAAGTGCAGGATTGATGGGTGGGAGTCTACAAAAATTATGACACAGTAGACGTCGTATTAGGTCATTGGAAAAGTTCGAGTAAGGGGGAAGTGGAAATTGGTGGTTGGAAGGGACATCCGGGACGGACAGTGCTAAGGGAAGTCAGTCGGGTCGTTTCTACTGGATGTCATTGAAAAATCAGCAGGATTACCCCGACAAGGTCGCGTGTCAAGTTCCAAGAGTTACGCCACGTCCTGATTCTTTCGGACTTTGAAAATTGCCGGTAACGCGACACCCTCATCGCGACTATCGCTGCGACCGTGTCTGTCTATGCCGCGACGTCGTAACTGTCGCTGTGACTGGGACCGTGCCCTTGCTCCGGATAACAGGTGTCGTTTCAGGCTACGAGATTACGATACGAAGTAGCGAGTAAATTGTGCCACACATTCAGGCTACACACTGCCGTAATGTATCTACGTATGTAAATAGCGAAACGCTTCTTTTTCAAGATTGATAAACGTATTGAAACCAAAAAGCCATCTGTTACGTTAAAGACGCTCACGCGTGATCTCACGCTATTATCATTTGGCACAGCAATATATGCACTGTGACGTATGTAACCGAAACTGACGCGACGCTTAGGTACACACTGTTATCTCTACAAATGTGATCGTGAACGCGATGCATCGCTTGATGGAAACGCAAATGTGATGTAATTCATCGTTTAAATGAAGATTAAATTTTCACCCTCTTTTGCAATCGTCACGACTTTAAATCAGGCACGGCTATCCTCTCGCGTATGCGTTGCATGCGAATCTCTTCATTACGATCCGCTTTATTTTTATTATGGACTTTCTTGCTTTTCAATAAAACACCACGCTTTCGAATCATGTGTCGCTTGCTTAGATCATTTTGATTTACTTCTTGGAGAATGGTGATCGTGATAGTGGAGCGATGACTTCCATTAGTAGTTATTTCCCAGTGAATCAGCCTGACTTGAACGATTATCCGTTATCGTTAGGCGTGTAACGTTCGACGATTGTGTCCACGGTGAGGAAGTGACGATTAGAATTTAAATAGCTTTTAGACATTTTTTTTCGTAGCCTATCTCGAATTCTTACAACCGTTATATTACTATTTGGGAATGATCAGTTAGTCAAGGTTCGCTGTATCTTCATCTTCGATAGTAAGTGATAAGATCGTTAGAAATGATTGACGAATTTTCCATAACTTCTTTAACTAATATATTCGCAGAAGCATGCTATTATAATCGAAGATCGCATTAATTAATCGAAAGCATTATAGTTTATAATAAATATCGATGATCCTACTACAATACTTGCCACGTCGTCTTAAGTAATATCACCTGTTTAAACCAAAGAACAAAACTCTTTAACGGCGCAAATAGTACATAAATGACTTCAGCCACTTTGCCAAGTGAGTGAGTTAGCATGACTAATTATATGATAACATAAAAGACTGAAAATAGTACATAAAAAATTACCAGCCATTCTCAATGAAAAAAAAAAGTGTCGCAAGCGAGCTCAATTATGAGGAATTAGCGTATTAAAAAACGTTCACTGATTGAACGAAAAAGAAAAGTTAAATTGAAAAGCAAGAGGAAGTACGTTGAACGTGTTAAATGAAATATCTTTTCCTGTTGATATGTTTCAGGTGTCTTTCTCGTACCTTACTTTCTAATACTCATAGTATGCGGCGTGCCATTGCTCTACATGGAACTGGCAATTGGCCAGTTTACACGACGCGGACCGATCGGTGCTCTCGGGCAGATCTGTCCCCTCTTCAAAGGTTGGTATTGATTAATTTAATGATCCTTTGATCCCTTTCTATAATATCCTAGAGTCTATCGATTAAATTTGATTGAGTACAAAGCGCTCGTCGCAATTTGAATTCACTTTAACGTGATTTAAGATTAACATAGTGTATACGAGACTTACGAGCTTGTTTTGACGCTTATAAAAACTCTTGAGTGAATAACTATTTATACTTGAACTGTCTATGGCTTCGATATCACGCACAGGATCGCCATGAATTTCACACTAGCTTTGAGCCAATTTACTTGTATATATTTAACAGGGGCCGGTTTATCATCGGTCGTGATATCCTTCCTGATGTCGACCTACCACAACGTGATCATAGCATATGCTGTCTACTACTTCTTCGCGGCCTTCAAAGCATACCAGCCATGGTCAGATTGCGACAACTCCTGGAACAGTGCGGCATGCTGGTTGCCAAGATTTACAGGTCTTGATAATCGCATCAGGCCTAATACTTCCAGGACGCCGTCTGAAGAGTTTTTCGAGTAATTACAAACTTTGATAATATAATAAATCGATCGGTCCTAGATTGCGACGAGAGCGTCGCATTTTCACTTACGTTTACGAAAAATTTTGTCTTATTGACGGAGTGGATAATTTAACAATTAAATACGCGAGACACATTTTACGTTCGCTATCACGTGACCGAGTAGAGTAAATCAAGCTGATAAATATTTCTTTTTAAACGCATTTTTTATCGAATAACAAATTATATAATTGGCATCGTTATTATGCTTGATTTTCATAAAATTCCATCGGATTAATCATCTCGTTATTTGGCTGGTTAGCAACAAAGTCCTGCAGATCAGTGGTGGTATCGAAGAACCTGGTGCACTGCGATGGGAACTGGTTGCCTGCCTGGTAACCGCATGGGTGATGGTTTACTTCTCGATCTGGAAGTCCATTAAATCCTCGGCACAAGTCAGGTACCTCACGGCCACACTTCCATTCCTTCTTATTGTCGTGTTTCTCACACGGTCCCTCACGCTCGAAGGTGCTGACAGAGGACTACGATATTTCTTCCGTCCACGATGGGAACTCCTCGGCGATGCTAAGGTACTCCTGCCGTGTACTTAATTATCATTTGATTTAACTTCGAGGCATTCCATCATCATGTCATTTGTTATCAGAAAGAGCTCATTCATTTAACTTGAGCTAACTTCCATTGCAATTAATAATATTGCTATTGATAAGTCTGTAAAAAAAAAAAAACCTTTAAAATGCATGAAGATATTCGAAAAATCATTAATAAAATGTTTCTACACCTTCCTGGGCTTTCATGGAGTCAGTGAGGTAATGATACTTTTTACTCCAGATTTAATTATGCATTTACAACTAATGGGTTTACTATAATTCTTATCAGCCGTCTTTTTATTAGTTCAAGTAGTATGTATCACGAAACTACATTACCTAGAGTGATTACCTCTTTTCAGTAACATTGCAGACAATAAATTTAGCACTTGCTACTGACAAGGTGTAATTATTTGTTGTCCATTGAGTTACGTATGAGTTCAGTTATGGCTGAGTTGTCTACGTCAAAAGCCCCATTGCTGTACACTTAACATATTTTTACTTGAGATACGATTTTTATAAATCTACATTTTCCAGGTCTGGGTAAATGCGGCAGCACAAATTTTCAACTCCGTTGGTATTGCTTTTGGCTCGATGATTTGCTTCGCGAGTTACAATAAATTCCACAATAACATACTTGTGGATACCGTGGCTGTCTCGCTGATAAATGCATTTAGCAGTCTTTTAGTAGGCATATTCGCATTTGCTACAATTGGGAACATATCCCTGGAGCAAAATATGACAGTCGAGGCCGTACTCAGTGATGGTAAGTATCAGATCTATATGACTGCACACGTGGCAAATTTATTTTTTAAAAATTCACTTTCTATCCAAATTACACTCGTTAATACATCCTTTAGCTAATCCTGCAATAATCACGTGACAATTCTTTGATTAAGATTTCGTGTCCCAAGAAATCATTGTACCAGACACGAAGATTTCCCTGGATTGTCACGAGAGGATTTGTTTCCTATTTTTTCGTGCGATTTCCGTTTACTTATCCAATATTTGCTGGAGTAATTCGCCGAGAATAACTTAGCTACCATCTTTCCCTTATGTGTAATTTGAGATAACTGTGACTTGGGGTGTGAGAATTATCCTTACGTGAATTACGGTAATTAATAAACGTATTCTCTTAATATCCTTTTAAGGACCCGGACTGGTATTCGTAGTATATCCACAAGCGTTGGCGAAGATGCCGGCATCGCAACTGTGGGCAGTTCTTTTCTTCTTCATGTTGGTCTGTCTCTCGCTCAACAGTCAAGTATGTGCAATAAATTAAATTTGTGATACCGAAGATATGCTATCGCATTAACAAAGTGTGCCGTTACTTGTGCTTGCAATACATTTCTCTATTTGTTATGCTTCTAAGAAATAATTAGATACATTATAACATCATATCCCAGTCATGAAAAGAAACATATATTACGCGGTTGCGCTGTTGGAAAATAAATAATGTAATTCATTGACATATTTTTATCATTGAATTGTGTTTTCTTTTTTATTGTCTGGACATCTTCTGCGATGTTGGGAAAGATAATTTGTACTGTTGTTCCACCAGATGTTCATATGCAATATTTTTACAACTAAGCTAATAACTCTTGAAATCATTAATGGTTGCAAATGTTTATGTCGACAATAAATTAATAATGATACATCCTGTCGACTTACAACGTGTTTAAAGACAAAGGATACTCGTGCTGAAACACTCATTAATTAGTCATATCATAATACGTATGTCAGCAGACTACACACATTTTTAATAGCACAAGACACAGTATAAAAAATTGTGATAGCGAATTATTCGAAATTTTTTTTATTAATTGCAATGTTAATTTTAAATATCTCTGATATTACAGTTCGCCATAGTCGAGGTAGTAGTGACTTCGATACAAGATGGATTTCCAAATTGGGTAAAGAGACACCTTCTGTGTCATGAAATACTCGTTCTACTTATATGCGTGGTGTCTTTCTTCTTTGGTTTACCAAATATAACACAGGTAAGAAATTCTGAAATTGTAAAAAAACAGTAGTATATAAAATTTTTAATGAAAATGAAGAAATAATACAATGACTCTTAATAAATGCATAAATTTCTTGTATGCAGGGAGGTATATACTTCTTTCAACTGATCGACCACTACGCAGCGTCGATATCAATTATGTTCCTGGCCTTCTTCGAAGTGATCGCCATTTCCTGGTTCTACGGAGTACGAAGGTTGTGCAATAATGTTAAAGAAATGACTGGTCGAGTACCGTCCATTTATTTTCGATTTTGCTGGCTCATCGCGTCGCCTCTTCTCATAATGGTAAATAATTCCCATGACATAACATCTTCTCCCAATCTATATTTCTCCTTATACGAAAATCTGTAAGAATCTTCGCCTTGTCTATATTAATAAGGAATTTTCTTAAATGCAGGCCGTTTGGGTGTTCAGTTTAATCGATTACGAACCGCCAAGTTACCGTAACGGTTTATATATTTATCCATGGTGGGCCGAAGCCATCGGATGGGGAATTGCTTCGCTTTCTCTGGTATGCATTCCCGCCTTCGCCATCTACGTACTCATTAGAGCAGAAGGCAACACTTTCTCCCAGGTACGTCCTCTCCCTTGGTATATGTCAGTCTTGTTCCATCTTAAACGTCTTGTACCTTTTGTGAGTTAAACTGGTTTAGCTGCACCCCATACAAGAACCCCAGCACAATATATAACGCTTGAATCCGTTATCGGTATTCATAGAAATCGCATAACGATCATGTATTCAAGAAACTCTTATAACCGTGAGAAATATGCGGTATTTCTATTCTGAAATAAACATGGACTTCTTTTTTTTCTAATTCACAGAAATTGCGAAACTCAATCAAGCCCCACTTTGAAGCATGCACATCGTGCGGGCAGGAATATTGCACGGAACCAATGCATAATATTGATGAGGAATTGCTGAAGGAACCACTGCAAGAGATGAACAATATCGTACACATGAATTCAAATTACTTGCCACCGAAGAATCCAGTATAATAACAGAGAGGACAGGTCTTACTGGTATTTAAAAAAAATTTAGTCCGTAGGGTTGTTTAGAGATCAGAGAGAATTGCAATTTGCAGTTGAGTATGATTCATTGAAGAGTGAAATGTGTTTTTAAGAAACCTGCTTCCAATGCATTTCAAAGTAAAATTTTGTATTTTACTTGTGAATCAATCATATGTAATACTTTGCGCTTACGATTAGATATCTGTCAGTGCAGTTATATCTACCACCAAGAGACATTATAGAAAAAAGCTTTATTAGAACCATTTTTTTTTAAATGCATATCTTCATTATATGAACAATGTGTGATTTTCTAATTTTATAAACTTAATGTCTCGCAGTGTATTGTAGAACCAGGCCTATTCATATAAGTTATTCTTAATCGATAGTTTAGTATTATTTATATCATGCTCCGTGTCATTAATTAATTCCTAGCAACCTGTCAATCATGGGATTAAAATTATACTACCTATTGCATTTAGTCAGCACAATAGGAAATACATACACAGAATTAAATTGAGAAACAAAAATAGCTGTATTAATTTGCAAGTTTATTAACTGCCGACCATAATTGCATATAAAAATTAATTATTTACACAAGATTAAAAATTTATATTTGAGCTATTACCAGTGTGTGCGATTGTGTAATTAATTTTTTTTAATATCAAACATTCCAACATGTTAAATGAGTATGTATGGGAATACAAGTGTGCGTGAATGATGGCATCATTTTAATAATTCAACTGTTAAATGTATCGTTTGATAGGTAACCATACATTCCATTGTACCACGGTATTTCATTGTTAATGCAATTGTAAACAAAGAATTAGTGGATTAGAATCGTCATAGAGAAAGTCTAATTTTTAATGATTTTTACATTGATTATATTTTACAGTTTTAATGCAACATAATCAGATATTCGTAATGCAGGTTTATGCAATTTAACTTCTACCATTGCCATTGGCAGTTAATGGTTATAATAATATTATGCCTTCAATATTAGCTGCCTGTTTCTTTTACAAATGCAATAAAACATTGTTTTTAGCCAATTAAGAATTTTATTTATTGATGAAAGAAATAATAGCTTGTTAAAAACTCTTCAGTAATTTAAGTTCAAGATTGTAATTTAATTTTTCAAAACCTATTTAAATATTTACCAACAGAAATTTACACAATCAATTGCGCAATACGTGATATTTATATTATAACAATTTATAGAACCACTGTATTTTCGTTATTACTTTTAAAAACATTAAAATGACAATTTAAATTTAATTACAGAATATCGGTGATGGTATTGTTGTTGTACAGCCAATCTGATTCAAAATATCTGTGGAATGCGCAAAAATATTATTGCGTCATTGTCGCCATAATGAGGCCAACAAAAGACAGAATAGAAAAACATGTTCCGCTAATGCTAAGACTGTGGGATATCTATAAAAGACAAAACGAGTGCAATGAATTTGCCAAATTTTTTAAATAAACAAACATTTATACGTCAATAAATGTTAAATAAAATGGAAAACAATTGAATTATATTTTTTATAAAACTCAAATGTATACACGATGTAAATGAACCTAACGAACATATCTTGTCCAATGTTGTTCAGTATTCATTATGTAGAGCATTATACAAAAATCTCGTGAAACAAAATATGCTATTACTCAATTCGTAAAAATTGATGCGCTTCAGTGAAAATCTATAATAAATATAAAACACAGATGTATAGTTATTTATATTAAAAATATTACCCCAATGTGTAGCGGTAATTAAGCTTAACGGATGTCAGCGTTGTTTATATGGTGCCAGGATGTTGTTGGATGCACTCATTAAGAACTTGTAAGTATATTTCTTTATCACAGGAGACTTATTAAAAGATGTAATATGAAAATTGAAAGGTTTAATAGCTTGAAACATACAAAGTTCCTAAATTGATAAAGACAGCAACTCAAACGACCCTATTTCCCGGGTCTTGTAACCATAAATCACACAAACACTGTAGATTAAAACCGTCATACCAAATGTCGTGTCGTATTTCTATGAGATTATGCTATTAACGCACTCTGCTGTGAAATATTGACAGCTACAATTGTTTGTCCAAATTAAAAATCCTCCAGATGGTGCTATTTTAGAATGCTAATGTTTAATATACGCTTAAGAAAATCAACCATTTTATTGGGCGGAGCAAGTGTTTCGCGCCCTTTTCTCATTCAAATATACCGGAAGTTTTTATTTAGTTAAAGCAATGGCGTAACAATGAATGAATTTACAAACAGAGCAAACACAAAATATATTTAATCGATCATCTCGTTAGCACGTGGAGATGATTTACAACTGTTCGTCTCTGAACATTATGAATTAGGTTGATGCATGTTTACCATTATGAAGAATAAATACTTCCATGCTAACTAATACCTTCCTCATTGGAAATCGTAACAAGATATGTTTAGCCACGTATATCCTTTATTTTAATTGTAACAAAATATTTAGCATCGAACCACTTGTGGTTTTCGCGCCCGTATACAATTCAAGATCGACCGGACACGGAAGCTCGCGCTTCGTGGCTGACGCAGTGGCGTAAGTAATCTTCTCTCGCGATTCGTTAACAGCCAAAGAACACATAAAATGGCGAAGTGCAGTTGTTATTTACTTACGTGAAAGATGAAAGAGTAGCAAAAGGACTGGAAGAAAGACAAGCCAAGACACTAGAACACGAAAATTTCCTTGAGAATCGACATACCAAACTGCCCGTAAGTCATCCATTTTCCGTACGAGGCTGCCGACAAAAATCGACGAGATTCTTCTACTGTCACGATCGGAGCTTCGGTTTACTATTACAAATTTTCAAAATCTCCTGAAAATCCTAAATTAAATCATCCCTCTCAAATATTTACTATCTAACGATTATTTAATTTCATCTATGTTAGGCCTGAACATTTTGACCTTAACACGTTAGTCGAGGTTATGAGACTTTCCTGAGATTCAACACAATTCTTGATGTTGCACTGGGTTTTGTTGCATACAGCCTTTTTTAAATAACATGTGAGAATGACGTTCTTTCTTTAATTTATGAAATTTTGATAATATGTCGTAACGTAGGGTTCATCATAAAACGTGTGTAAAACAGCAGACTATAGATTTTTAGGTTAGTCCGTCAGGGTGCCTCTGATGCTGCCGGAATACTTAAGGGCTAACTATACGATGGGTATATAATAAATTAATCGCTTATAGATAAAGTACATTTTCACAATAAAAACTCCTATGCTAACTACAATAATTATGAAACATTATTCAATCTTTCTATGAAATTTAAAGAGTATTGTATTCATTGTTGACTAAATATGTGTATGAATCTGGTAAATAAGTCAGTACATACAATTACACTACTTCTATAATCAGTCTGTTTGTTAATTTAATTTTTACTTATTAAACTATTACGATTTTACCAATTGATTTTGCAACAATTAACTAGCATGCCAATATCGTCTTGCAGTATTTAATTATTGAATATTTTCTATTGCATAAACACAAGAGCTGCAATGCTACAAGAACATAAAAAATTGTACGTAGAATGTGATCTAGGTACAGATGAATGTAGAATATTTTACAAAAAATTTAAAACAAATATAAATTCATAAGTATTTTGGAGTTGTTTTAAGAATTAACTTTTCAGATTTATATTGAAACTGTTCCTTTTTTCTCATTACTATTTTCCCTATCGTATTAATACAGTTACTCCAAAGCTATACTTATGATATCTCTGTCACGATTATAATATTCACTATGTTATTTATATTATTCAAATTGATTCCTACATTGAATTTTAAGTAGAATTACAAATAATTGAACATTGCTTAAAACATATGATAAAATGGATAATAATTATAACATAAAGCATACAGATACTTTCCTTTTTATGTGAATGAAAATGGACATTTATAGAATGAAAAGAATTTTGTGGGGTATAACTAAAGATTATATTAATTTCAATAATTTGATTGGTGATTTAAAATATTAGAGCATCACAAAAGAGTGTGAATTTATTCTTTTCACCAGGTTGTATTTTGCAAATATTGAATGCATCACAGGGCAGATATGAATTTTCTGAAGAAGTGCATCTAAGTGGTAAACTAGAAAGAGAACTGATCAGTACGTGGGGAAATATTTCATTGGCTCATAAGCTTTTGGGAAAATGGCCCAATATTTCAATCTCGTGACTAATGCAAACAATGCGATAACTATCGAGGAAGTGCAACGAATTTGTTCTGTAGAAGGACAGAGCGTGCAGTTCGTCGTTGAAGATATTAATAATGGTGGGAATGGTTCAACACAATATGTTACATACACTCCTGCGGCACAAAATACCGATCAGGCAATTTTCTCACCACAAACTATAAATCTCGGTGGGCAGATTGCTACCGCTCCTTTAGATCAACGGTAATATATACAATTTATGTCGCTAAATATGCTGCCAAGGGCAATAAGTAGCTTTAACCGAATTTCGCCAAGTAGTTAACTAGTAATACCTTATTGCAGACAAAATGTGTACATAATCAAAACAAGCGATATGTCAACGACCCAGAATATATTGAAAACAAATACAGTTAATGTAGTAGGCGAGAACATCGTTAATATTGTGGATGATCGAGGTAATCATACAAATTGCAAAGTGTATAAGCGTAGAGCATAGTATCATACTGTATTATTAAGTAATAGCCGCCCTAACACCTTTAGGAAATAAAATACCAGTAAATAGTAATCCTGAGGGGCAGAGTATGCAATGGATAAAGATGCCAGAAAACAGTATCAACTTCAATGCAGTTTTGAAGCAAAACACGACGCCCATCAGGAATCAAGTTGCCACTCCGAACAGGAATCAGCAGCAAAACAATGTTACTACACCAGTAAGCATTTCGAATGTTTTTGTTGGGATGCATTGTTTCCTGAAAAGGGCTCGAAAACATACGCGTTTTTATTGTATAAATAAGTTAAAATAAAGTTCACTGTCTCTCCCTGTTACAGCTTTCATACCAGCAGGGTCAGCGTTCGCTATCCGAAGCGCAGTTCTGTTCGATGGAGAAAAAAACACCTAGACAATTACAAAACCGGAATCGTCATTCATTCGTGCAAGGTGGAAGTGTACTAAACACTCCACAGGGTGGGCATACCGTGCACTCTCCAGGAGATCGAATGTTGCATCGAAATTCGACATCAAGTTTCCAGACAAAAGCTTATGGTTTAGTACAGACGGTCCAGCAGACATTAAAAACCAATCCCCCTGCGCTGCACTATCCTGAGAAAGAACATTTGAGTGAACGGATCAAACAGCAGGCTAAATTAAAAAGGGCATTACATACACAGATGCGTGATGAATTAAGCCCACCACACAGACAGTACAGTTCTGCTTTACAACAACGAAAGCAACAACTGCACCAACAGCAACACCAGCATTGTCAACCCAGTGTATCACCTCAAATGAAGCAACAGCGGCAACCTTTATTAGGTATTATCTTAGAAATATTACAAATTAAAGACGTTTTAATCTCAGTTACCACCTTTGGTAATGTTGACATTAAAAAATGCTTTTTCATCTGGTGATGTATTAGGTACACAGTGTGCAAACCAGCAAGCCATGGAAATTGATCAATCTGAAAACATCGAAGAACAGGCGAGCGTTAATCAAGAAAACAGTAACGAACAAGCAGAATCTGAGTGTAAATCCACCGAGAGTTTGGCATACTTACAAAAGACTATTCATGATCCGCATAATACTATAGTCCCACAGCAAATCGAAGGCAATACCGCGAAGATGCTGGTTCTTCTACCTGACGGAGAACAAAGACTCATTACGTTTGACATACCAAATGATGAGTGTACTGTTCAAGATCTTTTAGAACAGGTAAACTAAAAGTCTTCATCTTCACACGTAGGAATAATTTATAGTTCTAACATTTTAATTTGCCTATGATTTCAGTCAAACATCTCATTTTGCGGGGACACCGTAATATCTTTAGTGTCGGATGGAACGTTGGGTATCAATTACATCGTGGAGGCTGGTCCAGGCACGTCGATGGGAACCCCAGATGAAACTGAACAAAGCAGTTTGGAAGTTGAAAATAATTCCATGCCGAATACAGCTGCCGATGGTTCCTCACCTAATTTCCAGTAAGTGATGAAGAATTAACATTATTATGTGAATTAACATATATACAAATGAGAAATGATGATTACAAATATTTTTAATCCTAAAATCGAAGTGCAGAGAAGTGAAATATTTTCTTGTTTCAGTGCTTCGAATGAAAACAGTAATTCCTCCGTAACACCAAACGAGGTAAGATATTGCTTTTTTAATTATAATATGAACAGGTACCGAATATAGGGAATGCATTAATTATACATATATTGACATTTATACAATGTCCAAACCTGTAATTTGAAATATGTTTAGATACACTGGAGATACTTCTGATATTCGGTACTTGTGAATATTCAATTTCAAAGCGTATGTATATGTATGCATAGTTTCTTAAATAATGTTGTACATGTATATCTGCCACGTGGAACATCAGTACAACGATACTACGCGTTCATCTGATATATATCTCATTATCCAACAGTAAAGTTTATTGAGAAAAAAAGTCGAGTACCTTAACTAGAAGTAAATCGAGCTAAAAAAGTTTTGCATTACAAGAGGTGATCAATTTTTATGCGTAGAACGAAATTCATCATTTTCTCGTTGGAATGTATTAGCCATTTACGCCTGGTTTCTACGCCTTTGCATTCACAAGTCGTCGTCGATTGTGAAAAATTTTATTATATCAAGAAGTTGGATATTACTTAAGTTTTAGTATTTTATCTACTTCGCGTTCTTCATTGCTGATTATTATTTTACATTAATGAAAATTGCGTAACAACAGAATGTGACCACACATGTGAGTTGCACGAGTTATAGGTTAGATTGTTATAGGTTAGTTCTATTGAATACATAGAAGACATATTTATTCAACAGATAAGACTACTTGTTGGCTCTTATATTTGATTATTTCAAGGAGTGCTGTGGGATATCAGATAGAAACAATATATGTTTTTATTAATTTGAATATATTTCTGATAGTTGTGTAATTGGATTTAATTTGTGAATATAGAAGCTATCATTGGTAATATTTTCCTCACAGAGTATAACCTTAATTTTAAAAATTAATATTCGTGAAGAATTAGCACTGTTAAACAATGTAGAGAATATATAAGGTTTATTGCATTTTTATAATCATGTGAAAACTTGCAAGCTATTCATATTATAAGGAAGTCATTTTTGTACTTATCGAACAGTTGCAGTGTAATGCTAGTAATTGCAAGTGCAAATTCTTGCTTATAGCAGAGTCTGATACAAAATAAGAAAAGCAAACCATACTGCTTGTACGAATATTAACAAATTGAGATAAACTTTTATGCTTTAGTCAAGAATCGCTAGAATGTATTAATCCTTTTGCATAACTCAACCTACTATAGCTTTTGTATGGAACTAGGAGCCCAAATACGTCGATGGAAAACTTGCTGTGTGCCCTCACTGTGGCATCAGTTCAAGTGACTTCAACCGGTGCATGCGGTGTAAGACAAAATTGCCAAAGGATGTCAAGGCAATACCAATAACTATGGGTATACAAGCGAAGAACGAGAACATGCTGTCCGTCGATGTAAGGATCATGATTGAGATGCTCCAAAACAATACTAGAGCAGAAATCTATTTAACAGCATTAATTTACTTACTACCGATTAAAGTATCATATTTAAAGATAACTTATACCATTTTAGGATATTTAAAGATAACAAAAAGTTCTATAGCATATTTCCTTACTTTATATTTTTCTTCGTCGTTGTAATTTCCCGGAATTAGTTTTGTCTTAGACTTTTCAGGTCACATTGGGAACGAGTTGCCACTTGGTTCCATCCTAGTAATTAAATATTTGACAAGATCGTTCACACGTGTCATGGTCTTCTGTTACTTTCAGACCTTTTATAAGAAAACCCCTGATCGTAACGCAACAGCTAAGCTAGACCAAGATGGTTCCGTTTGTAAACGTGGAAGAGGTAGAGCGCGAGCAGTTGGATCTTCAAGATCAAAGCCAGTCAAAGAACCAGGTATAACAGTTACACGACATCCGAAATTTTGTGACGTATTTAAAATTAATTCATAAACAACAATTAAACAATAAACATAGTTAACAAAGAATGTACATGTTTCTCCAAGAATGTTTAACAATATCATCGGACGAAGAAGATGAGGAGAACAAAATAAAAAAGTCGGAAATGGATAACAATGTTACACACAATACCTCATCTGGTGGTGCATCCAATGAAGAAATGGAAATGATTTCTGAAAAAGAACCAGTTATCACAAACAATTTAATGTACACTGACATTGATCACACTGTCGATGGAGAAGAGGGAGTCAAAGGTTTCCCATCAATATTTTTTTAATTTCATCATTCCTTACTTGGAAATTTTTATACTAATACACGTTTTCAGGTGGTGGAAGAGAATCTGAAACAGAAGACATTACCGATGGATCTATTCAAGCACCACATACATCTATATTATGTCGAACGGTCAGGATAGGATCCTACAAATATATCCCTCGAGAAAGAGTAGTAATATCACAGAATGGTATTAGATTAGGGGTACCGTTGCTCGAAGATGGTGAGTCAAATAAATTCCCTTATTCCCTTTTTGTGTTTGGCGTTGACAGCACGAGTAATAATAAACTGGTGCATTTGCTTTGGCAGATACCAACTTTGTCACTCTAGACGTAAAATTCAAAAGCATAGTGAAAGTGTTAATTCACTTCGGAAAGATAATGCCAGTTCTCTTTTTCTATACAACGCCGGGTACTGGTGCGATGATCCGAGAGTTACTCGGTATGCAAGACCCAAAAGGACCTTATTATGATCCTGCTGGCAAAGGTAACAGAGTATAACTTGATATCTTAATGAGTGACAGTAATATATAATCACAAAACTTATTTCATAAACAGATAATACGCATAAACGGATTACCTTGCTACCAGAAGAAATGACAGAAGAGTCGAAATTATGCTTGAAAACTTTATTTCCATTAACAAAAAAACTTGAGGAGCTCAATCCAAAAGAGGCGAACGAAATTTTAATTCGGTCTTCGCCACAATGCGTTAGTATATCTCTAATAGCAGTAGATGCCTAATATCCTACTCTTTTTAATGATATGTTTAATACTAATTATTCTTTGATCTTTTTTTTTACAGCAAACACATTCAGAAACCCTATTGAAAAGACAAAGTCAAGGATCCTCGTCAAACAGTAGTAACGTCAACGGCAAGATACAAACGTAAGTATCCATGATCGATACTATAACATAACATGATTCTCTGTACGAATTTATTTTGTCTTATTTTTGTTCTGCTGACAGCATAATGGTATATCCACCGCCTCCTGCTAAAGGTGGTATTGCGATCAACACGGAGGATTATGCATGTCTCGGGGAAGATCAGTTTTTGAACGACGTGATTATAGACTTTTATTTAAAATACTTAACGCTGGAGGTATTGTCGGAAACTGATCAAAGTAGGACCCACGTTTTTAGTTCATATTTTTACAAACGATTGACCAGTCCACATGCCCAGGCGGCTGAGAATACCGCCCCATTATCCGCCGCTGCCAAAAGACACGCGAGAGTTCAGAAATGGACAAAAAACGTTAATATTTTTGAGAAGGATTTCATCGTTATACCAATTAATGAACAGTGAGTTTAAACAAATATCTAGTTACTTCGTAATTTTATATAGATTTTTTTATGCTGAGCTATTTACTCCTCTTTAACTTCCATTGTAGTGCCCACTGGTTCCTAGCCATAATTTGCTTTCCGGGATTGGTGGGCAAAGTTCCTGTATCCACACAAAGTTCAAAGGAACATGACGTACACAAGACTGTCCAAAAAAGTAAAAAAGTTAAGGAATTGAAACTTCAGGCAGTCACCATTGGCAGCACCACTATTACACCTGTAGCTACAACTATAACATTAGATCCAGGAGACGATGGCTCAGAAAGGGATGAAGCTGAAGGTGATGATGAGGAAATGGAAATGGAGAGTGACGAAGAAGTAAGTAACTAACATAGAAATTACATTCATGCTAATTTACTCATCATAAGAAAGTTATAATTTTTGCTAAACACTAACATATTTTACTATTTTAATTAAGGAGGACACGGAAAATCAAGAAGACAATGCTAATCGACGAACGAAAGTAACTCAAACAACAGCGCAACAAAAGGATATAGTCAAAATGTAAGAATGACAACAATTTTTGGTAATAGATAAGATGAAATGAGATCTTGAGGTGAATAATTTTTTACTTTCTCTCTATAGTCCATGTATATTAATATTCGATTCGCTGGCGGGTGCTAGCCGATCGCGTGTCGTTGCAACGCTGCGGGATTATTTGAGCTGTGAGCACTTAGCCAAAATGGGAGTCGACAAAGTGTTCTCGAAAGATACTATAAAAGGTTCCTGTCCAAAGGTTCCACAACAATCAAATTTTACAGACTGTGGAGTCTATGTTCTACAGTATGTAGAGAGTTTCTTCAAAGATCCAATAAAGAATTACATGCCACCAATAAAAACACTAAAGACTTGGTTCGAGGAGATCGTCGTTACGCGTAAGCGCGAGGAGCTTTCGAAGCTTTTAATGAAATTAATGAACGCTACTAAAGGTGATAAGAATATAAACTTGCCGACCCTGACGTTTCCTACACAAGATGGAAAGTTATTACCGAGACCGGAAGCTCAAACGGCGGATGCCGCGACAGTGAAAACTGAAGCCGAGAACAAGAAGCCTAATTATAATGAAACAACAGAAAATCGAGTAACGTCAAGTGAACCAACAACGGAAAAGAATGCCGAGCAAATTAGCGAGGCACGTGCAAAAATTTCACCGTTCATTCCCTATTCGTCCTCTGCCAGTTCCAGCTCAAATGAAAGCAACCAAACCGATATGTTTACCGAGGTGAAGACGATGACCAGGTAAGAGTATTTTATTTGTGTTGAAGAGGTTTGTTTGGATTTATTATACAATTTATTGGAATCATGAATTTATAGATCTGATGCAGAAACAATGTCCTATCTGAAAGCGAAGAGGATTCCAAGGCTAATGCTGAGATCGAGTTCAGAGAGCCAGGACGATAAGCAGTCCTCTAAGAAACATAAGGGAGACAACTTTGATTCCTGTAAATAAATATATTTTTCTCCTATTCCATTTCTTTCTCCTACCTTCCCATCTTTTTTTATAACGATAAAAAAAACAATTAGCCCGCATTCATAAGTACGATCAGCCCAATTACCTGTGTAACAAAGTATGTAGTTAGTACTTCGTAAGGTGAATAAAAACACGAAATATGCAAATATGAACATGCGTTTGTTGGAACTTAAGTTGTTTTGATAAAACGTTTGGTAGTACTTTATACAGTTACTAAAAACAATTATGGCAATTGCTCTATTTTAAGAATCTCGTATAAAGTATCTGTTTGAATATTTTATGGAAAAGATTCCAAATTGTTGAAGTAAAAGAATTATTGAAAATATTGATGTACTTCTAAGGATAAGAAGCCGATTCACTTAAATCACTTATTCTACTTTGCGTGTAAATTACTCATAAACCTTTTATTTGTAAAAACCATTATGAAATAAGTTCTATCATGGCACTGCAATGAACACAGTGAGCAGCATTTCACCAGCAAAATTAACAAACGTGCATTTGCCATTTGTTACATATTGTTTGCAAATAGATATTTATTCCATTTCCTTTATTTTCGCCAACTCTCACATATCCATCACGCCATGATGAACAGTATCGAAAACGAAATTTTTTTATTCAGAAACAATTATCAGTTTTCAATAAATATCGATCGAAATATACCGAAATGTTGTTCTTTATTTGTCCTAATTCGCAAAATCCTCATATCAAACTACCTTACTTACTATGCGTTTACTTTGCAGCAATAATGCACAATCGTACGACTGAACAACATTCCAGTGTAAAAAATATCAATGTCCAACAATCAATTTTAATTGATCACCATAGTTAAGGAAATAAATATTGTAAAATGTGACTGTATTAAAGCGTAAGGATAACCTTTACTCAACGGATTATTCACTCTCCATTGGAATTACTTATATGGATTATATGCATGGAGAATGTATTAAACAGAAGCAATAAGAATTCTGAGAAAGCATTTATTCGTTTAAATAATCATCTAATATTCATATCATCACATCATACACATATCTGTCTTCTGTACACGTATGTAAAAATATCCGCAATGTCCGGTAAACCGAACCTTAGCGGTGCTAACGAGGGAAACCTCTAAGGAAACCAACTCGGTATTGACGAGCCAGCAGTTCAATCAACGAGATATCAGTCGTCTTTAGGTAATAAACATTTTACTAGGAAGTTACCGTGTACAATGAGTACGCTGCGTACGGCGTTTTAAATTATCCTGGGGACAAAATGAGAAAAGATAGAGAAACGCGCTTTTAGGATAGGAATAAAGGAATAAGAGGACGAGTTAGACGTGACCCGCTTCATAATCGCTTAAGCGTCCGCTTCTTCTCTTTTAACATTTTTTTCTTTTCAGCTGTTAATTTTTTATCTCCAGCATGTTTCTTCGGCAACGGGCCACCAGCCATGTCTGAGGAAGCACAGCTTTGCAGACCAGCCTTGCTGCCCTTTCCACCTCCCTAAACGAATATTAATGATGTTAGAAAGATAATAATAAAAATTCGGCTAATTTTATCTTACCTGAGCATGAATCTCTGTCATCATTTTCGCTCGCTCTGAATAATCATCGTACCTCTCCAAGAGGAGCTTACCAGCCTCTTCGTTCAATGCAGATTCCGCGTTCGGAACGATGAGCAGGCATTTCACAGTCTGAAAATTTTTCTTGTTAAGTAATTGACTACACACTTTAGTACTTATAACTAATTACCAGTAGTATATGCTTAATGCCAAGATCAGATTTCCAGTCCTTCTTCAGAGTGTTTACACAAATTTCACCATTCTTTGCTACATTCGGATGGAAGATCTTTGTAAGGAAAAAAGCCTTTGGGGGTCCCTGTGGAAAGTCCTTTCCCAATGCTAACTTCACTCGAAAGAAACCTCCTGTGTATGGAGTTCCAGCTATAACCCAACATAAGTGCACATATTAAGTGACTGGCAGAAATTATTAATAAAAAAAAAGTTGAGGTAATATATAGAACCTTCCTCAAGAAGTGCTAAGAAAACAATTTATAACTACTGATGAAATATTAAATTAGAAAACAAGAAATCCATCCTACAGATACTAAAGCTCGCTTCTCTAGTTAACAGCAAACACTGACTGCCGCAAGCAGTATAAAACACAAGAAATATTTTGAAACAACCTTGTCCTATTGAATTGGAATAAGATAGTTATACCAGGTCCTTCAATAACTGCTTGGATATCAGTGACGTCCTCATCGTTGATGATTACACGAATTCCTTCGGGTGGCTGCTCTACAAGCTCACTCATCTCCTTAGCGACCCTGCGTATGATTTGTGGCGACAAGTTCTCGACATTGGAGATCTAAATTTCAGAAAAGTTCTTAGAACGCACAAAACGAACGGCAGGACTTCTCGCATGGCGAGGTAGGTGAAGTAAACAAGAAGGGCAATACATGACACAGAATCAAATTTATATTGTAAAACTCACGGAGCTGACAGCAGCCATCTTCGACGTCGGGCGGACCTTATTACACGGAATATCGTTAGACAATATTTCTCGCTGAGAATTCCTTGTCGTCCAAGAAGAATAAGCTCAGGTCTCAAACACTCCTTCTAACGTCAGAACATCAGCGCGGCATCGACCATGATGGCGATAACTGGCGTTTGAACGAAACACCAATAAGCGCTAGAGGACTAGGGCCATTTTGAACCTTCGGCTAATGGAAGCAAGTGATAAGCAACGGTTTAAATCGCAGACCAATCCGCATCGAAACGGTCGTAGCCTCCATGGCCAAACTCAGCAGAAAGAACAAAAGTGCAAAGCGCGACGGTCTGAAAAATTTTGCATCGAAAAACGTCAGTTCCATTGAATTTATTGAAACTCTTTGGATGACTTGAGCATATTCGGTATATTAATCAATTATCAAGACTACGAATTTCACGATATCGAAATGCCGGAGACAGTGTCGAATGGCAAGGTATAATTTATTTTGTTTGCGTATCGGTGTTGTGTGTTATTTCCTCTTGTCATTAGGTTAGACCATTCTTCATAGCAACAATGAAAAGCTTCTGTTAAGCAATTACATTCTGTCTCTGCGGTTTTTATTAATGAATGGGATAGATTTCTCTTAAAAGCTTTTGGTTTCAAGTAGGTATATGCAGAGAATTTGATTGTGTTGGACATTTTGAAATTGTTTTTTATTTGTTTCAGGAAAAGCATACGAAGCAGTTAAAAAGAAGAATGGAGTGCTGGAGAGAAATTATTTTACCACTAAACTCAATTTTGTTGTGGGAGAGATCATGGCATCTTGGTTTAATATTAGGAGTCACAACATCCATCTTTATGTAATGATTAGTATTAATATATTTTGTAATAACTAGACCATTGAAGTATTATTCCATAGCATATTTAAGAGTTATGAATATACTAATTTTGTTGTAATCAATTTGCTAACATTCCTGTCTTCAGGCTTATTTGGTTTTTGGAGCCAGCATTACTCACAATGATCTCTATTTGTCTGTTGATACTGGCTTTGGTGGATTATCTAGTGCCAATCCTATCATCAGCATTCATTTCAACAAATAGCTGGACAGGGCAAAAAGAGAAGAAGTTGGATGATATTTGTCAAAACCTTTCTGTGACCATACTCCAATTGCAAAATGTTTGGGGAAAGATATTGCAGGCTCGTAATAATCGCCCAAATTTGGTAGGCTCAGTTATCATATTTTGTTCTTATGATCAACAAAAACTAGCAAATTATATAAAGATATTCTGATATGATCTTATTTTATTTTATGAAAATTAACACTAGATTTACCATTTATTTATTCATTTTGACTGGTACTGGTATAAATGTCAATAACAAAAATTATATTTGTTACTAATATATATAAAATAATATTAAGTTTATAAAATGTATTCTCTACTTATAGCTACAAAAGTCATAACATCATTTCTGAAATCAAATGATATATGTAGTAGGAATTTTGAATTGAAATTGCACGACCAGTCAAAATGACTGGTCTGGTAAATCTAGTGTTAATAATACTTATATCATTTCTAATATTAAAATTAACACTTTTGTTTCCAGTATTATGGATCTATAACATTGTGCCTGCTATTACTTGCCTGGATTGGAAATACTATAAATAACCTGCTTCTTATCTACATGGCTGGTAAGAATTTCATAAATATATAAAAAAGAGTGATCATTTAATATAAAATTAACGTCATGTATTTTTTGCAGTAAATGCCATATTGCTTACGCCTGGTCTGAGACATAAAGGCAGAGTGCAGAAGGCAATTAAATTTCTCTGCAACTACATGACCCACCGCAAGCAGTCTTAATCGTCATATTTGTCACGTTTAAATTTTGCACTGCGCAACGGATACCTAATAAAATTCGTTTTTTGTCGCCATTTTCATATTCGATGTTTCTCTTTCGTGTGCGCTTTTCGCACTCACGATCGTTTATGTACTGACAAAATTACCAATGAGGTACCAAAACAGTTTGGAGGATTACCAAATACCAGTGGCTAAAGCTAATATTTACATATATATCTAATTATTAGAAATACTAATACTTATATTTTATACTCGTAATATTAATACCGTCACTCGGGATTATTGTCGATTGCATGTCGCTTGCGTATTCGCTTCCTGAAAGAGCCACGTAACATTATGATTTCAATTATGATATGTAGCAGCTGTTTCACAGAGTAGTAAGAATATCTTGTATTTTAAAAATTTCAGTACTACAAAAAATTGAATACACGGAGAAAACCACTGATGAAAGAAGTTTTAGTGCAAGAACTGACTTAGTATGTAACTTGAAATCATAGTAATAAGGCGTATATTTCAATTTCGTGCTTCTCGTCAGTCCTACAAGCAAATTGTAGTTGTTACGCCACTGTATAACATTAAAGTGTATTTAGACTATTTTTAAAATTTAAAAATATATTCTACTCCTGTAGCATGACGTATAGAGTATTAATTTGAAATGTACTTAATTAGATTCATCATGATAATTAACAGACTTCAATTAATAATCTCTATGTTATTTGCTGATTAGCAATAGTCAGTCGCGCAGCATTGTATTCAGTATATATTAACGGAATATTAGAAATCACAAATAGTTATTTAGTTCCTTATAGATTCATCAGAGAATGACAGCAATCAATATAGAAAGTTGAAAGCTTTTGTAAAATAATTTTTGCTAATTAGAAATCGGACTGATTGAAAACAAATTTCATATTGTTTTTAGAAATCGTCGTGATTGCAAGCAATAAACAATGGTTCATTTTCTACTCAATAAACATTGGATACATGTTTTGATTGGTTTATTAATGATTTAACAATTTAGGAGCAGTGATTTTATAATGATTTATGTTAGCTTAGTGATCCACGCGATATTTTATTGCATATTTACTAATAAATCAGTGTATTTCACAGTGCTGTACATTTTCGAATCCCATATTTATTGATTTGTGTATATAAGTTACTTTTTACAAGGTTTTTCCTCTATACCATCAACAGTAATAAAGTATAAGGTAATCAAGAACAATCAATTGGAGTACGCTTGATGATCCCAGTAAAAAGAATTATTACAAAACGTACTTATCTATTCCCTTTAACTCTGCATATAAATTATTATTTCTAATCGTCATCGGCTTCGCTGGAAACTGCAATCACGACTTGCTGAAGAAAACTTCTTAAATGATTTGAAAGATATATATCCTCGCCGTCGGAGCTGACTTCCGAATCATACACATATTCAATTTTCGTCTTATTTGACGGCACTGGTAACAGTGGCCTAAAAAAAATATTTAAAAAACTTCAATAAATCATAAATACCGATTTTATATACTTTTCCTCGTAACACAACTGACTTTCTGTTAATTATATCCGAAGATAATTCAACCTCAGAATCTTCGGATTTTTCCTTCACAACTTCAAGCTTTCTAAAATTTATTAAATTTTATATATATATATATATATATATATATATATATATATAGTATATAGCAGAGTATAGTATATATTGTATTATAAGCATTTTCAAACTTAACTGGATACTTGAACATGTACTTTCCATAGGTAGTGATCCAGAACGTGTAATCTCATTTTGTTTATTTAATTCTTTAGATTTTTTCAATTCCATTCTTAAATGTAAAATTTCTGCACTGAAAGTAATAATGATTTTTATGCAATTCTTTTAGTATTTTCAGTTAGCTTTACTTTGTTAACCGTATCTGTCGCTTATCTTGCTTTCGTTCTCGTTCTAGTCCTTTAATTGCTGTAGAAAGTTTTTCGATTTCGGAGTACAATTTATTTTTCTCCTCCATGTTCACATAGCTCGTCTTCTTTGCTACAAATTCGCTCTTCTTCTACGCTGGGTTAATGGAAGCCGTTAATTTATGAAAATATAAAACAATTATCTAAGAGGTATTATTAGAGTATACCGGAAAGAACTGATTAAAATACTTTGAAATTCGGCCGACCGTAAAGACACATCATTTTCATTTCCTTATAACGTTTTTGTTTTTTCATTTCTATTTTCCTGAACATTTCTTCAAGTTCCTCGTTACGCTTTAAAAGTTTTAACACAGTATCACTTTCACGATCGTTAAGCTTACTACCAATCTCTCTGTTCTAATAGAAAAAATCATATTTTATCGGTATTAATGGCATATGCATTAATTTTTTTAATGGATACGTGGTTCAAATATACAGATTCAAACCTTGAGTCTTTCCAGATACTCGATTTCTTTATCTTTTTTGTAAATATTACTTTGAAGTTTATGAATGTTTATTTTGAATAGTTGATTTTCTCGAAGCGTCGTTGTGAGTTGCCGCTTTAAGGATATCAAATCTGATAGCAAATCTTCCTGTAAAAATAAATTTGCTGTTTTCTCAAAACTGGGATCTTCTAAAATTAATTATTATAATTGAATCAAATACCTGTTTTTTCATGATTTGTGCTGTGTGTATACTGACGTTTCTCTTGAAACAGAAAAATAATGTTGAAATGAAGAATAATAGTATTCATTCATTTATAAAAAATGTGTACCAATTTAAATAACATACAATATTATGTAATTTGACAGATTTATTTATGACAGTTATGTTATTTCCAATTTTAAATGATTATTATGCACATTGTCAATTTTATTTCGCGTACAACTGCATGCATCCAAATTGCAAGAGGTGTTTACCATATGAGCATAACTTTAGGTCAATATGTAGTAGATTTAAGAACGACTAATTTTCGACACAATAACTTGGAATCTTGGAATTGCACTGATAAATACGTATACATATTTTGATCAGCTGCTACATGGTTTTTGTGTGTTGCAATTTGTTTACATTGACTGGTAGTTCTCAACAGCACATAATACAAAACTAATTTATGATGAGTGGGAAGTGTAGAAAAACCTTCTGATGATAGATCGCTGATATCATATGTCGAATTATCGGTAAATTTCTAAACGTATAATATACCTTACACTAAGGTTACGTTTAAAACCTATCAAATCCTTATCTAAAGCACATGATAAAATTAGATAATTTCGAAACGATTAGATGGGATTTTAGTCCATTATGAGATAAATAAATTCTTCAATATTTGATATTTTAGTAATCTTTAATTTTAACTAAGCAGACTGAATTATTTATTTGTGAAAAATTTGCACACTTCTCCATAGCCTGCAGTTATACCTTTTGTAGTGAAGGTACATTTTTTGGCAAACTTACAGTTATGTCCTACTTACATTTATTTATTCGGTAGCATATATACAGTAGTTGATTCTTTTAGTTCACCACTTTTCTTTTAATGTAACTTATAAAGGAAAAATGTTCTACAATTTCTATGTGTACCTAAATAATTTATAATTGATGCAATTTCTTTGATGGGTAAGATAAATTTAAATAATTGGTAAGCTTGATTTGTTGTTTATTGAATGACATTATCATGTTATGCAAGAATGAGAATTAGAAAACATGTAGTTACATGTCACATATGTATTATCATATAAACAGTGCATCAAACAAAAATTTGATGCTATCTGTAGTGCTGTGCTTATTTTATAACAGTATATACAATATGCAGTAATAACCTTATTCGAAGTTATAATAAGCGTGTTTCTTTAGATATCATCATTCACAGAGGAAATAGAAAATGGCTGTGAAGAATGTAATAGATTGGACGGTCGATGATGTCCAGGAATGGTTAAAAGAAACTGGTAATGGCCATTTTACATATCTCTTCCGTGACATTCATGCAATTGATGGAAAAGTTCTTCTTACTATGAGAGAAGAAGACTTGAGATCTGATTCTGTGAATATACGAAAAATTGGAGATCTGAAGAGACTTGCTATTAGTATTAAACAATTGCAAAGGGAGAATGTTGCTGCCTTATATGAACTGGGATACATTGATCTTCTTCCATCAACTAATTTTTATGCTCATCAACGGCACGAAGTTAGTGCAATACATAATCGTAGCATGCAGAATCCTTATGGGGGAAGAAAATTGAATGGTGTTTGTGTGGGACCGCAGATTCCAAGCAGCGGCGGTACGGTTAATAACGAGGGTTCAGTGGAGCATGAGTTTTACTCCACATCAGTTTCTGAAGATGGACAAGCTTCACACCTCCCTCCAGAAATATGGAAAGGATTCATCAGTCTAGCATATCTATTCGTTGTTACTTGGATCACTGCCTTTGTCATGGTTATCGTACACGACCGAGTTCCGGACATGAAGAAGTATCCCCCATTGCCTGACATTTTTCTTGATAATGTACCACACATTCCCTGGGCCTTCGATATGTGTGAGGTCACTGGTACTATTCTCTTTGCTATATGGCTTACTGTACTCATATTCCACAAATATAGGTAAGTGGCCAATTAATGCATTTTATACAGTAAACTGCTTGAATAAATAACAAAATAAATTATAATTTTGGGGTTACAGATTCATATTGTTACGTCGGTTCTTTGCGCTATCCGGTACAGTTTTCTTACTACGCTGTGTAACAATGCTCATCACGTCGTTATCAGTGCCAGGTGCCCACCTTCAGTGTCAACCGCGAAACGTTCCAGCGGAAGAATGGTCATCAGGGTACGAATCTATTTGTTTTTAATTACCTATCAGAAACTTCAAAAATCCAAGGTTAATGTTCATGACTTCTGAAAACGACTTTCGAATAATTTCAGTACTGCTTACAAGGAATTGTACAATAAAATCGCCATGGCTTATGTTATATGGAGAGGAGCTGGTATGTCCATTCAAGGCGTGCGAACATGTGGCGATTACATGTTCAGCGGTCACACTGTGGCCCTTACCATGCTCAACTTCTTTATTACGGAGTGTAAGCGACTACAATTTCCTGCATAAGATCTATTTTTTGCTTTAAATTTTAAGTAGGTAAACTAATCAGAATCATTATTATGGATTAAAATTATACAGATACCTCAAGACAGCTATACTTCCTTCACACATTCACTTGGATGCTGAACATGTTCGGTATATTCTTCATTTTGGCTGCTCACGAGCATTACTCAATTGATGTATTTGTGGCTTTCTACATCACGTCCAGGCTGTTTCTATATTATCACACCTTAGCAAATAATCAAGCCCTAATGCAGCGGGATTCAAACAGAACAAGGATTTGGTTTCCACTATTCAGTTTCTTCGAATCTTCCGTTGACGGAATTGTACCAAATGAATACGAGTCACCTTCTTCCATCATCTTTAACTTCATTTGCACCTGCAAAGACGCCTGGAATTACGTGCGGAGCTGCAATTGTTTCCAAAAGACTCAACACAACCACAACAGCGAAGTCAATTGCACAAAGAAGAAACTTTAACCCTGTGCTTTCGTTATTCCAGGGGTTTCCCAGACACAACATCTTTCAGCCTCTTTTTTATAGCCATGTAGGAGCACGCAAAGAAAGTTTCTATCGCAATTATCATTTTAAGATCCTTCCTATCTGTCCAATATGACTTTTGTATTTGGAGACGAATTTTTTTTAGGAAGTTTTTTTTAGATAATTTGTACATTGTATGATTGATTGATTTCAAGCTGTACAAAGCCAACAAAATTGAAATTAATGCGAAAACAGACTTGCAAGTCTCATGTAAAAAGTTCTAATTAGAAAATAGAATATGAACAAGTCAGGGATGCCCCTGAACGGTGCTCTAGCTCATCAACTGTATTTATATCTAGTACAGATATTGAAACTCTGAGAGAAACCTTAGAATTTTGTAAAAACATTATCTATATAATGTATATGGAACAAAACGGTGTCATGCGAATGCAACACTAATGTAATTATTTATTACGTACGGTTAAAGACAAACTTTTACATAAGATCGCACAATGGAGACTATTTTGCCAAAGGCGCGAGATATGCATGTGTAAATAGCGAAAAATGATATCTCGTGTTTATTTCAACGTTTTTGTCAATACATAAATTATTTTGCACATATCACGTATATATATTTCTATGCATATATATATATGTCCCACATAAAATCCGTTCCCTCATTGATGACCACCGGTAACGTACAAATGATCGATTGAAAGAAATAGAAAAACCATGGATACAGCGACGGCGATTCGCACTGTTTATATTGTTAAAAATTATCCAAAAAAAATCGACATTCGCATCGCGCTCGTACTTTTGAGAAATTGGAGAATTTTCAGGTGAGATAATCCAAAGGGTACTTATCAACTTGTCTTAATTATGCAATCTCTACGAGATGTATTTCGTACTCTTTCCTTACAGCCTTTTGAAGAAAACGTCACAAAAAAAGATTCCGAAAGAAGTCAAATTGCCCAACGCAATTTGAAATTGACTCGTCCTTCGTCCGAGATCTGCGAAGCCTCTAGAAACGTTTGGTTGAAGAGAATTTTAAAGGAACCAGGCGAAGGACGGTGTCGTATCGAAGGTAAAAGAATGAAGGTAAAATTAATTAATAAAGAATCGTCAAGGATTTTTGTCTATTAAGCAGTAGTAATCATATTCACACTATTTCTTGAATGCTCATTGATGTTTGCAGAAGCGTTGGCCGTGTGTATTCAATCAATCACGATCGCCAAAAAATTCGCCAAGAAGATCACCTTTATCAAGAGCAAACGAATCTACACTTACTAGAAGTAAAAGTTTCCACGATTCGCGAAAAAGACGTTTGCTTAGGAGCAATGCAAAGTCACAATGCAGGAGTGGTGAAAATGGCGAGAGAAAGGATGTAAGGAAAGAAGTGTTCGGCTCCCTGGAATCTCTATTCGACGTGAAGAAACCCATAAATTTACCGGATCTACAATTACTACGTGGGAGGTACTACGGCGAAGGTGATACGCCGAACTCCAGTCCAGATTCGCGAAGTCCCGGAAGTCCACGACCCCTAGTACCCTCGCTATTTCCGTTTTTTGCGACAGAGACAAACCAAGAAGTTAACGCACATTTACAAGTAATTAAATATAAAAGAAATACAATACTTTTGTTCTATATAAAATTGCTTTATTTAGTCTGAAAACTCGAGTGATCCTGATTCAAAGGAGTATGCTAGAGATATAAATCAATTAGGAGAAATAGAAGAAGAGATTTTAGCACAAGAATCTCCTGAGCTATCTAATAAAATGGATGCCTCTGAAGAGGAGAATATAAAACAGGAAAGCGAAGAAGTAAAAGAAGGTGACGATACAGTAGAAGAAGATGTGAATAATGCTGATGAAACTGGAGAGGAAGAAGATACTCTTACTCCCATGCAGGACATTAATAAAGAGCCAGATGCAGCATCTAATGGACAAAAAGGAAAAGGAGACGATGAAGAAAAGGGAGCACCTTCTTATCCGATACCACCTGGTTTAGGCGAGGGTAGGATCAAGTTCATTTTTTTTTTTCAGTATGTGATAAGTATCAGAAGAATTTATTTACTTCTGAAGGTATTCCTGTAAAGTCTGGGGGACGACAAGATTCTATAATGAGTGCTATACCACTGACGGATACTGCAGTTATGGAGGAAATGAAAGAGGCTGATGAGAGATGTACTGTGATTGCAGCAGAAATTGAAGAACTTAAAAAAGAATTAAATGAGCTCACTAATGTTAGATTTCTTTATTTCAATTATGATTTAATACTGGTTTTATAAATTTCTATTTTTTATTGCTGTAGAAAGAAAACCTTACACAAGAGGATACATTGAAGATCAAAGACAAACAAGAAAGTATAATGGCAAAGCTTGGAGAATTTGAAAAAATAACACGAAAATTACAGCGTTTATTAGGCCTGGCTGATCCATCTAGTCGAACGTTCGCTAAAATGTTTGAAATGCATCCTTATCCTTTTGGGAAACCAGGCGCTGTACGTCAAGTCTACTAAAAATAAGTTCTATTGACGAAAAACTCCGCAATACTTATATATAATTTAAGGGCATGGAAAGTATTCCCGAAGGGAAAGAAAAATTAAGCGAAGAAGAGAAGGTAAAAGTTAAGAAACCAGAAGATGAAAAGAAAAAGGTGGAAGAAGATGACGAGTATCGTTTCGACATTCCTCAAATGGAATATCCAGAAGATAAGTAAGTTTTTTAATTTTAAATTATAGCACCACTTTTTGTACTATTTCGGTGTTTCTTTTTTTCTTAATTCAATAGACTTCCAAGAGTAATAGTATGCGGTTATACAGAGGATAAAATTCCAAAAATCGTAGTAGGGGATAGTGAGAAAACAGGAAAGAAACGTTGTTTCCAAAATCTAACAGGAAAATTGAACGAGTCTTTAAACATGCAGGAAAAACTAGTAAAGGAAAATGCCCAATTGGAAGGTGGCAGGTAAGTCTCAGCCTGTTAAAAGTTTGTGGGTTATTTAAATATTACTGTTAATTGTTATAAAAAAAAAGACAAGTGAACTTTAACCAAATAAATCGAAGAGCGATCGGTCTCCCCGGAGATTGACGCTGTTTTGTAAATGGAGACCGTTCAATTCGCGACAGGTAAAAAAATTCGACATAAAATTTGAAGCATTTGAAACATCTTAGAAGAATTCCTAGTACGACATATCGTATCATTCCTAGTTCAACTACGTACTGGAATTACTTCGATTATACTTGAATCTCAAGATCGCTTTGCAGATACAAATTGGAGGAGGCTTTACTGGAGAAGGACAACGCGGTTGACAGTCTTCAGAGGAAGGTATGCGGCTTGCAGGCGGAAATGCGAATAGTTGTCAAGGAAAACACAGAATTGAGTCGACAAATAGCATCTTTAAATGAACGAGTAACAACGTCAGCCTGTTATACCATTTGTACCGAACCATCCGCTCCGGGTTTAAAAGCACCACCTTCTCCAATAACGCTAGCAACAGTTAACCATAGTAAATCGTTTTCCCACGAAGACAATTCCTGTCTATGCAAGTGTTGTCTTCAGGAACAGATAGGAGACTGTAAATTATCGCAGCCACCGACCATATGTGGTATGAATAATAGAAATTAAGTTCATATTAATCTTCAAAATTATGTTTCATATAATTTAATAATTATAGTGGATCCAGATTCATTGAAGTTTCACACAGTTTGTGGTAAGTTCTCGTATTGCTGTCGCAACTGTTCAGATAAGAATTTCAAAAATTTATCTTCAGGATCACCTAGATTGTCAGGCGGTGCTTGTCGTGAAAGTTACCAAAACATTTCTGAACGAGAATCAGACATGTGTTGTAGAAGTCCTGCAACTTCTAAAGCATCAGCGGTACCCCCAGCTCGAGGAGCATGTCCTGCAGAGCTAGAGAATAAGCTAACGCTCTATGGAAACAACACGAAACAACTAGTACGTGTAGTATATCTACATTGTGATAGTGCGTACTTTATGAAAATCTTTTCAGGAACAACAACTGGGTAGTATGGAAACGGAAGTACGCAACATGCAAAAGGAGTTGGCAAATGTACAACGAGAGAGACAACAACTCGAACAACAGAGAAAACTATTAAAATGCACAGGACCTTGTGCACCTTGCTCCTGTTGTCCTCCAGCCCCATCTTCCTCTACCTCAGTACAACCGCAATTAGTACCCTGCACTGCAAGTACAAATCCTCTTCAGGGATCATCTCCTCCTAAGGGTGTACCCATGTCTCTTGCCAAGGTACCCCAACAATTTCTCGATGACAATGAGTATAATTTGATGAAGCATCACGTGGATCAATCAAACCGTTATGATGAGATGATCGATTGTTATCGGTATCATAATTATTATGACAATACTCGTTAACAAGGATTTTCATCGTGGGGTGTATAAAAACAACTGATACATCGTAGACTAGACTTCATCTTGCGGGAAGTCACCATCTCTCAAACTTCCTATCGTTATCAGCACAGTAACTTTGTATGAAATAAACATATTCTTACAGAAAAAGATCGCACTTTTTTCTGCTTGATAATATCAGCATGGCTGCCTGTGTCAATGCGACATTATTCTGTACGTAATATCATCGCGCGTGCCCCAATGGTACGAATCTAAGATATGATTATTTCATATGAAATTCTGCGTTGAGTTTTAACTTTGCATGTTCAATTGTCAATTACATCTCAAGTATTATGTACAGTATAGTGTAAGCATATGCTATAGCAGGCTTTATAATTAATAATAAGGTATATACGTACGATCATTTGATCGCACGCAGATGAAGCCTCAACAAGCTGTTCCCTCCTGCTCTGGTCCATGCACGAATGCACCCATGGTAAGTATATGTGTACATAGTAATGGTTTCTTATATTTACTAATTGTATAAATAATTATGAATCTATAATAAGGGTGGCAGTACCTGCCCTCAGCAGCAGCTGCGTGATCTCCGTGAACAGTATGCACGTCTTCAGGACGATTACAAGAGCAAGCTTTGTGAAGTATCCTGCTTGAGAGCAGATGCTGAGAAGATGAAGAAGGAGACAAGAGAAGCTAAGGAAGAGAAGCAAAAGGCTGATAATAAAGTGATAGATTTACAAGAACGATTAAAGATCGTTGAAGATGAGAAAAATAAATTGACTGGTAATTATACACCGTCTCTAATCTTTATATTGTGATTCGTTATATCATCTTGGATGACAGGAAGCAAGGAACAGCTAGTGGAACAGGAACAGGCCTTACTCGTAACCAAACAACGTTTTCGAGAAGCTCAGGATGAATTGGAGGAATTACGCTCCGTTATCCAGGATCAGGCTAGTCAGTTGGAGGATTATAGGAATAAATATCTGCAAGCGCAGGAACAAGTGGAGGAGCAAAGACGACAGCTGGAGCTTATGGAGATGGATAACGCGCGTATGAATGAGAATGTTACCCTCGAAATTGGTCGAGTGAAGAACCAGTTCCAGGAGAAGCTAGCTGAGCTTGCTCCCCTTCCTGATATGTTGAAGCAGACTCAGATGAAGCTCCAGGAAGCACAGCAGATGCGTTTACTCGCGGAAAGGAATTGTGATGATCTTTCAAGGGAATTATTAAACTCTAAGGAGAAGCTTCAGTCTCTACAAAATCAAGTGGACATCTTGATTAAGGAAAATCAGGGTCTTCTGGTTTGTTCAAACTTCATTATATTCTTTATGGTGATTGTACCATATATTTTATTATAATAGGATGAGCGAGGTCAATCTAATGGTCGATGGGATGATCTAGAGAAGAACAACAGCGAACTCAGGAATGAAAATGAAAGAATGAAAAACTCCATATCACGTTTCGAAGATCATATCGCAGCAATGCAAAAACGTATAGACGAGAAAATGCACGAGGTCACCCAATTGACATCAATGCTGGAACAAGTAAGGGAGGATTCAGCAAGGCAGGTCGCTAGAACCAAGGAAAGGTGTGAAACAGTGAGAAGGACTATGCAAGGTCAAATTGCTGAAATGGAAAGACAACTTGCACAATGTAGAGCCACTGCTAGAACAGCGCAAAAAGACAGAGATGAGGTTGGTCATCTTTGCCTTTAATTATTATCAAGGGACTAATGATAATTTTTGTACTTGTATAGATACGACAGAAGATGCAGGGTCAAATAAATAACTTGAATGAGGCATTCGAACAGGCGCAGGGACGAATCAGATTATTACAGGGTCACGTAAATTATTTGAAAAATTCTTACAGCAATATTTTCACCGGCCAAGGTCAGGGTGAATCTCCAACCTCGATAGCACCTGGAGATCCTCCTAGTTCAGGACAAGGATACGACTCCTGTGACTGCAATTATTAGCATCAAACTACTATAATCAATTAATTATGGGTTTCAATACGAGGAATCGAAATTCCAGTAAGCCGAACAAAATTGAATCATGATATGTCTGTTACTGTTATATTTATGGAGTTCCAATGGCGACTGTTTCCATGTGTTACAAATGATTTGCATTGTAATTAAAAAATTCTTAAATTTTCGGTCTATACGGTCTACATGTCTCTGGTCAATTGTAGTTTCGTTGAAGTTTCGCATTGTGATTGAAAAAAAATAAATAAAGTTGAAAAAATAAAAAATAATAATCACGACGTACATCTTCAAAAAATTACACAGGGACACATCATGTAATGCGAGGGGTGGAATACGGTATAAGTTTATATTACAGCCACATGTGTACTATATTTAATAAATCTACTATGTATTTCATAATTATAATTGCTGCGTTCACTTTTTTTTGCATATTTTAATGGAATGTTCCTATTCCCAGGTTATTAAAATGAAAAGAAAGCTCACGAGCGTAGATAAAGCTTTTGAAGTAACATATAATCGCAAACAACGAAAACTAGCTTTCTCCGTTGGAGTTGCACGTACGCAAATGTAGTGTAATGATTTGGACTCAGAGATTTGAATTAGTACAGAAAGACTATACACATCTGAATGAAAATCATTCTAACATTATAACTTGTATCGCACAAAGTATATTGAAAGAAAAGAATCACCAAGTAAAAAAAATAAAAATAGGATTTAACTTTACAAGGAGCACCTAAAGAGACCATAACGTGTTCTAGATCAAACAAAATAACTCGTTTTTGTGAGAATGATCATGAGGATACTCATCGAAAATCTAAATTAAACACGATCACTATGTACAAGAGCAGAAAGTCGGAGAGTTGCTTAGATTAGAGTCAGTCCTTTCAATTAAAGTCTGTTGAATATAGTAAGTTGAGCATGTCCAGCACAGCATCCGAGCGTGAGCGCAGTCTCTCCATTTCAACTCTGAAGCATTCCAGTTGACTTTCAATTTCAACAGTCATTTCTACGCGACGATTACACGATTGACAATGTCTGCACAATAAAATAGAGAAATATAATGTTTGAATGTTATAAGGAAAAGTGATAAGATAAAGATAACTTACCTGTTACTCGTAGAACCGTTAATCTTCTGTTGAGGAGGTTGTTTCATCTCAAAGGACATAGATTGTGGAGGTGTACAGGGTGTAATTCGAATCTGCGGATTGTAAGATTCCCTTTGATGACAATTTGTCTTGTTATTGTTACTAGTACTTGGACTACGACAGTCACCACATCCTTTAAAGAAGTCCATGAGTATACCCCTTACACGTTTTCCACTGAGCCTTCGACGTCTTGACTACAAGGAAAGAGTTAATGATTTTATAGCCTGTTCGGTGGATAAAATAATTCTAAACAAAAAAATGCAACGTTACCTCAGGAGTTTCACTGGACCGTTTAGAAAGTAAAGGATCCTCCTCATCGTTTCCTGAATTAGGACTATGAAAAGAACTTTCATTACTTCCATGACAGTTATATTGACAAGGATTTTCTACTGATCTACAATGATCTGTGTTTTCATGTGAATTATACTGCTTTGCACCATGTTGGCAGTCTTTTTCCTCTCCACTGCGAATCACACCCCGGTGACAAGTTGTATGATGCTTACAAGTATTTTCAATTGTAGGATCTGGCAAATGATTTTGTATTGAACATGAATGCTTCCAATGATGACTAATATTGTGGCCGTTTGAAGACGAGCATCTATGTTCCTCTTGACCGTTACAAGAATGCCTTCTACAGGTATGACGATCATTATCCAATCTCTCCCGTGCATGCATAGAACCAGTATCCGGATTCAAACATTCTGGTAAATGAGAACAATGTGAATGATTATTTCTGGACGTAAATACCCGTTTGTTATTAGACCAGGGTAGCCGATTTTCAAAATTATTATCTTCACAATTACTTGTTGCTTCATTTGCACTAATGACGCAGTTAGTGCGACATCGTTCTTCCGCATCAATAAGAATCGAAGGTGATCGTGTATTCCTGGAACAACTAGGTTCTCCAAACCTCGCAGGCACCTTAGGCTTTTTGTTGGCGCAATATGCTGCATGACTGCGGTTTACCAAATGAGCGCGTGAAGCTTTTTGCGAACAAGTACACGGTCTGGTATCATTTGGTTTTTTTGAGATGTCAACCTCTTCTCCATCACTTTTTTCTTCCTCCTCGTTATCCTGCAGAGAATCCTGACTAACTTCTTTTCCCCAAATATTTATCGTTCCATTTATTTCTGACATTCGAACCTGTACATTTCCTAATAAATAAGGACCACATTCCCGTACAAATCCTTTGGCATTTCCAGCCTTGTCATTTTCCTCTGCCTGTATCAAGAAACTTCTATCTTTACTATTTTCATCTTCCTGATACATGATACACTTCACACCATTTTCGTTCCCATCATCTTCATCGTCATCATCATTCTTACTCGATTTTTCAGTATTCTCCGCGGTTTCTTGAGAAGGTTCAGAGTTATCCGCACCATTAGTACGTTCTGGCGCTATAACCAAATTAGGCCTCATATTGGCATTCTGATGATCTACAGGCCGTTTGAACTCACCATCCATTTCAGAAACTGAACTGAGACTTCTTCTAGACTCGCTTGCAGTGTAGGGTATCTTGAAAGGCTGAACAACAGCAGAAGTTCCTAGCATCTCCGTGGCTTTCCTCTTTTTCGATTTTGAAGAAGTATGGGGCGTTGAAGAGGCGTACGTGGCCTTTGCTAAACCTGATGTGTTTTTCGACCTATCCTTAAGAACGTCGTGTACATCATTTCTAAGATTATTTGCTAACGGACTGTCCGGTTTAAGTTTTCTTTGTGTTATTGACGACAATGTCTGGAGTATCCTCGACGATGTAATGAACGCACGCGACAAAGGGCGCACAGTTTTTCTTGGAGTTCTTTCAATTCCAACAGAACTTTCATCCGAAGTAAGAATGCCTGTTAAACTAGGTGGCCTTAATGAAATAGCTGGACTGTGACTGTAATCCGCCCAAGGATCATTGGAACTCACAGTAGAACCTATACTACTGGTCGACAATTTAACAGCCAAATGTCTGGTTTCGCTAGTTTCCGAATTCGATATTGGATTCACTAGAATATCAGTTTGTACAGCTACAGCTTTCGCCTCAGGACGTTCGTTTTCCTTCTGGTACATCAATACAACTTTTTTAAATTCCTCTAATTGTCGTTTGAGTTCGTATTTCTCAGCAAGCGTCTTTTCATACATATCTTGCATCTGGTTAAACTGGATAGACTTTTGTCTGAGCTGTGCTTGAAGTATCGAGATATTTGAATTCTCCTGATCCATAATGTCAGCTGATCCCTCCGCTATTTCAGCAAAATTTGAATCGTTCTGATTCTCCTTAATTTCTGGTGTATTCATATGGATGCTCTTGACGCATTCTATTTTAAGAGCACATGGCTCATCATCATCATTTACGATTTCTTGCTCCTCCATGTTGTTCTCACTGTATACTGATTCAACATATTCCTCAGATTCCACCAACTCCATATTCAGCTGTGGTTTTTCATCAGGATTTGCTACACTCATATATTCCTCATAACTTACAGTACGGAGATTAAACAATGCCGGTACATCAGCTTGACCATTGAAGAAACAAGCAACGTTTTGTTCATTAAGGATAACTCCATTTTCCATATGCAAATTATGGGAATTGGTTTCTGCGGTTCCATTACGCTTTTCCGTTTTTGCTTCACAATTTATTAGGTTCTTTTGATTTTCCATGGGCTCGTCATCCATATCCACGACATCTGCATCAATATTTTTCTTATTCATAGATTTTACATTGGAAATCTCTTCTCCATTTTCTGTTATCTGGTCATGATTGTATAATGTATTGCCTTTTAACTCTTCTCTTTTTAAATCTTTTATAACTCGCTCTGCATAATCTTTAATATTGACATTTACTGTATTCTGATTATCAATAGGTTTATGAACGGTACCTGAAAGAAAAAAAAAAAGATTTTTATATTATTTTCATCATATTTCTTGTTGTCCTCATTACCTTCAATATTCGGCAAAGGATTATTGTTCTGATTCTTTCTTTCCAAACGTCTCTCCTGTGATTGCCGGTTCTGTTCTTTGATTCCTCTAATATATAGTTTCACTTTACTTTCTACATTACGATATTTCATACGTCCTGGAACAGAACGTCTACGTTCTTCATTTATAGAGTGGAGCACAGGATTGCGTAGAAAACTTGATTCATCTTCTATCAATGCATCCATACTATATCTCTTTCTATGAAACCTCTCTTCTAAATGCTCACTCATGACAGATATGTCCTGAAGAGAGCAACTTCTTCCTATTTGATTGCTTCCTATGCCGTTATTACATGTTAATATCATATCGTCACAGGATCTTTTGTAAGAATCAAGTTCTAAGTCCCCATCAGTATCTTCCTCATCCTCTTCCTCTTCCTCTTCTTCTTCAATGTCATCCTCTAAATCTACCTCTTCCATATCTGCTAAAAAAGACGAAGCATGAGTATACAAAACAGACAATCAACTCATAGGTTTCGTGAAAAGATACTTACCATCAGACTCATCATAGTCTTCTTCAGGATCATCCTCTTCATCACTTGGTGGATGATCACTTTCTTCTCCAGAGGATATTACGCAGACACTATGCGCACCTTGTTCATCACTGTGACAAGAATTATTGCTTCGATTCTCTGCCCTAGATTCAGATTCCTGTTGACCACCATCGGTAGAACTGGAACTTGGCTGTCTACTTGGAGTAGACACAGTGACAAAAGTCGGCATCTCCTCGTCTTCCAACATCGCCATTGTCGTCTCATTCCCAGGTTGATTTTCATGCTGATTCTCAGTCACCTCATTCTCCGGTTGTGGTACGATTACCGCGTTACGCCCAGGTTGTTCGTCCTCTCTCTCGGTATCCTCACTGACAGCATCGTTCGGATCAGCCATCTTCTCCACTAGGACGTAACAAATGAATAATGCCCGATAACCAGTTACTCGTGACTATTTATCCGGTATTCGTTTCCCTGTGGGCTGATCGGCTAATGCACTATTTCACATTATTCGTTCCACTGTCGGCCATAATGGCGGTTGGTTACCAACGAGAATTCTTTTTTATATATATATTTTCAAAGTTCTGAAAGTATTCTTGAAAATTTAACAATTTCCTCAAACTCATTATTAAAAAAATAATCCCATTCAGATTTAGGTTGAGAGCTTTCAAGTCCTTTTCATTTTACTGGAATAAACACAGCCCGCGTTTTCCTCTTGTTTGTATCGCGCCAGTATAATGCAATAACAATGTACAGTTACTACAGCCGATTTTCGCGTAGAAACAAGGTTGGTACTTCGCTCAAAGGGTAGAAACGGCAGAAAGCACGGTGTAGAAACGTATAAACGCTACCAACAAATGCATTGTCTTTGTTTAAGATGCTAGGAGAATACATGCGCAGATTTCGCTTATTAGGGTGTGAAGAGCGTTTGTTATAGAGAAAAAATAATACGGGGATGAATTTTCATTCCAACAAGAGTCCGGTGAAACGACCGCTTCGCTTTCAATATGGATGACTCGTGGAATTCTGCGATTCGCAACGCTTCTCTGTACAGTAGGAGACAAGAGAACGAACAGACTGTATGCAATTGTTAAAATCATTTATTGTATAGATAAATAGAGATTTTAGTAGTGTATTAGAGTGGGTAAACGGTAGTTCTAAAGGAGAAATATCATAAAGTGTAGTATGTCTTCAGGTGATGATGGATTACACGTGATAATTGAATTCGGGTAAAAATCTAACATTTCCTAACCTCTCAAACAACTTTAGACAAGATAACTGTTTTTTATATTCCAGAGGGGGTGCTGAGTTGTTGTTCGATAAACAGAAGAGGCACGTGGTGAATTTACCTGCTGATCGAGAATGTAAGTGCGATTTTTATGCCTCCCGAATTTTTAATACCCCATTCAAATTCTTCGTAGGGACGTTGAAGTTGCTCCTCTTCTGGATCAGGGATAATCTCCTGAAGGAACGGCCAGAACTCTTTTTACAAGGGGACACGGTGTAAGTTATCTCTTGCAAAACTATTTTCAGAATATTTTATAAATACGTGCGTTAAAATAATACATTAATCGGAGGAAAAGGGTGAGAAAACTTATATTGCGTGTGAACCATAGACATAAAATATAGACTGCGCGATTCCTAAACTACCTGTAAAAATGTCTGCCCTGGAGTGACAGAGATACATCGAAAAGTATCCCACTCTCCATCCCTTTCTAAGAATCCTATTGGTAGATGGTATCTAACCCAGGGTCGTATGACTGCTGGAAGTCTCCCTCGAAATGGCTTAACGTTGACTGGCACTTTTAGTCATGTCTTTCAAGTATTACCATGTTTATTTCTAAAGACGTATTGCAATTGTTAATTTTTAATGAAATGTAAATTAAATGCACATTGTTCCCTATTCGCCGAAATTTTATGAAAAATTTTGTACGTTATTCTCAAACGAGCGGGGCATTGAATAATAAGATGCTTTACCCGATTAAAAGAGATGGATAGACGGATACTTTATAATCTGTCTCTTTCTTTTATGCGGCAAATTCTCCGACGGTACGCGCAGTCCATAGTATATCTCTATGCGTGACGCGCGCAAACAGATCCACACTTGAAAAATTGGTGTACGAGGAAATTTTCCATGGCGGGTAGATAGTTCTTGAACAAACTCACAGATGGCAGCACGAACAACTTCCCAGTTAATGACGCCGCGTTTACAAGTGGTCAATCTATTTCGATATATTATATATATTTAACTCGATAGACAGGGAAATCATTGATGATACAAAGCCGTTTGTAGATAAAAATGATATTAAGGAAGCTCTTAAAATTAATGAAGATTGCACTTAATCCTCCACACACTTTTGTATTTACAGACGGCCCGGTATTCTAGTGCTGGTAAACGACGCTGACTGGGAACTGCTGGTAAGAATTGTGTGCCCAAATGTACTATTCGTTAGCTTGCACTTGTTACGCGGCAGAAGAAGATTCGCGGGTGGGTACGTTGTTAAGAAAAGAGAAGTTTAAGCACAGTCGTGGAATACAGGTGCGAGTGACGTCTGAGAAATGTCCGTTGCCGAAATGGCGGCTTGGGATTTTTTTGCGAAGGCGGTTACGCGACCCTCTCTTTTCTTCTCTTCCTTTTCTACCTCCTTTCTTATTCTACATCTTCCTCGCTGCTTCAGGAGTTGGAGAGTTGAGAAGGAATGAAAAAAATGCTGGAGATGGTGAAAGGGCGCAAATGACCTCAGTTTGCCACTCCCACTAGAAAATTATCATTTTAAATTTGTAAATGTACAAGCCGGAGCCGCTATTAGGATATGGGCTCTGGAGCGTCGAGCGACGGAGCGAGAGCCAGACAGGGGAAAGATGATGGCTTCAGCCATTATTATGATAATACCTACGTTTCGTGAAGGCTCTCTTGCATGCCTCACCCTTCTCTCACTTTCTTCCCTTACTTGGCCCTCCCGCTTCACAACTCCTCTTCTTAGCCTCCCCTCTCTGCCAGTTTCGCGGCTTCCTACCCTCTACCGCCTCATACCCCCATTGGCCCGTAAATTAAAAGGGAGGGCAACGCTCGCAGTCGGCCCCATTTTCGACGATATTATCCCACCCGTGATTCGACTTGACGCGTAATTGATTCTCGAATAAGGTTCACGAATTCGAATGTTTCAGGGACAAGGCGAGTACAGGCTGCAAAAAGGGGACACGATTCTTTTCATCTCTACTCTGCATGGAGGTTAATTGAATTGGAATCCGCGCCAGGTACTATCTGTACCCAACAACAGAAAATAAGACTGTTCTCTAAGTCTTTTGGAATATCAACTTGTCATTTTACTTAGATTATATTCTACCTCATGTTACCCTTTACCTGTGGTTAGTTTATGCATATAAAGAAGCATTTTTGGTTTTATATGTTAAGGATGAAGATCATGTAAGGAAGGACACACGTCGACCTTTTTGGGATATGCGAAAATAAGCATAATGGATATTTGGTGAGAGAATAAAATGTTCACCCGTACGACGTACGTCTGGGATAAGTTCTATGTAATGGCTATAATATAACGGGTGACACTTTGGCCAGAATCCAAAAGTCTTCCGTGTTATTGCTTTAGCCTCTTCTTCGGTGGCGAACCCTTCTACCGTCACCACCATCACCAACACCAATATCACCGACCAACGAACCAACCAAAAGCATCCCCTTAGCCTTTTCACTGATACTCTCAACCTCTCTCTCTTTCTCTCTTTCCTACTCTTCATCCCGTAGAGCGTTACTTAGTTCTTACGACTCGGGCATGTACAGCTTTACATATATTACGTTACAATTAACATCATGAGCTGAAAGTTTCGCACTTTTGCGCGGAACTGCTCTTGGTACTTTATTGCCGAAAACTTGGCTCGTTAATTATTGCAGGAAGAATTCATTTCCCAGCCGAATGTAAATCGAGCAGAGTATTCTGAGGGAAAGGGATGTACGAGTACTCTTCGAATGCTTTCCTGTTTCTGGCACTTATTCGTTGTGGGTGTTCGTGGAGTCCCACGGGCATTACGTTACTGTCGATATATCGGTCGCCATCTTTGGTCACAGCCGATCGGTCCTGGTTTCCACGAGAATAATTTGGAAGGAACAATGGCCCCAATTAATCATAGAGGGAGTCGCGCGAAAAATCGATGAAAAGAGTCTAACGAGCGTCCGTGGGAGCTAGCAGAAGGACGAGGAGCAGTAGGTGGAAAAGAGGGTGCAGGAGTAGGTTGGTAGGTAGGTCGGGAGAAGAGGAAGAGTATGTGCCACTACTGTGTGAGCTAGCATGCTTCTATATAGCCAGGAGTCTGAGTGTGGACCCAATCGCTAATGGCCTAGCGGGGCGGGATCGCTTGGTGATTAATTGTGTCACCCATGATTACATCACAGCACATGCAGATTCACCATATTATATAGGTCCAAAAGGTAAAACTGAACGTGTGTTACGTATCTCTACAATACTCAATTAAATCAATTTTCTTCTTCCTAGCGACCTACGATGCTGAGCACCAGGATCCTCCCTACGAATTTTGCAATGAGAAAAGAATTAGCCGGGACCAGGACTTCCGGATATTCTCGCAGATGAAATCGAGCAGCGAGTGTTCGCGACGGAATTAAACTTTAGCGAAACGCTAACGGTTGTTTCACTTTGAAACGTACGTATAATTTCTGTTATCTTCACGGGCCGTAGGTCGCGCCACCGAAATATAAAATAATAAAAGCCCTCTGGAAGCTGCCTCAGAACTTTGGCTATTACGCCACGGCCGTTTCCCTGGTTAACGCGTCTCCAACTTTTAACGGTTCACGTCGTGCACGGCACATGGTTTTTCGTGAGGCTATCTGCCTTCACGTATCAAACAGTATTCGAGCCAGCGATATAGCAATGCCCTATTTTGATCCCCATAAGGGTAATAAAGCTGCCCAGGGAAAATCATAGCTGCTCTAATAATCGAACGGCCACAGCCGCTTATAGCATAGATTATCGACGAGTGCATTAACGAAACGCTCCCTATCGCTTACCATAATAACTGGCAGCTCATTTTGGACTCTGCTCCACTCTTCTCTCTCTACCAATAGCTTCCCAGAGCTACTTCTACGCATCTATACTAACACCTACTACCATGAACATCAGCTACAAAAAAAATGGCATACGGTATGCTAGCCTTCTGTTTCTAATGAGTCAGTTACTCATGGTACTTATCCTTGAAACACTTTGCACTCAGGTGCCGTATTTATTTGAGTCTCTGCAGCCAACTTACTCATTTACCGTGCTTATATTATTTCTCTGTCATTAGGGCGTGCTCTCACCTTCTGGTGCTCCTGGCGAGCAACACCAACGACAATATTGATACGTCTTCAGGTTCCTTGGCAAGAAAGTTACGTCGTAGAATGCAAACTTCGGGACGATTGAACGACGTCCCGCATGGATCGTTCTGTGATCGAAGAAAATTCATTCTTCAGGGTAGAACGAAGAGTATTGCTGTAGAAAAGGAAGGAATCTCATTCGAATAACACCTGCCGTCTGCATTTGGCTCGGATGCCAAAATCATCTGAAATGAAGGCACGATATCAAAGAAAGAAAGAACGATGGAGCTAGTGAATAGCTGCAATGGTACCGAGCTGTGTTCCTGACTGGACTGCGATGCCAGGCCTATCCTGAGCTTCTAGACTGGCTTTTTCTTTCCCTCGTTCGTGACAATGTCTTGGAGATGCGAACCATCAGCATAAAACGCGACGTTTTACGAGGCGTAGCGAGTGGAAGGCATCGCCTTACATCTTTCTCAAATGCTCGACATCGTGTTCCTCCTTTGGCCTGGCTACAGTAGATTTCTACGATTTGCTGAGTAAGCTCTCTGTTCCTTCGAGACTTCTCTAATAGCTACTGCCTGTGATCACCGGAATTGAATTTTTTTTATTTCAACATCGATTTGTACTGTGAGATTGTCAACCGGGTACGAATTAACGACAATTTGTCGTATTGGCTTGGTGATGTAGGAAGAGGCAGAGGCGAATTGGAAAACATACAAAAACTCAGAGTGAGAGAAAAAAAGGAATGGCAGAAGCGACCTATTCGACCGTTCCACGTACAATATCATGGGGAATTATTTGATGAGGGTTTATGGGTGGTTGGGCCTCGTAAACACGGATCTTGACACATCGCACGTAAGCTGGGCTTAATTCCACCCATAAAAGCAAATACCTCTTCCTCGCTGGCCCCTTTCTATTCCCAGGTCCCTACTCGGATTCGACCCTCGACCACCAGTCACATTTTTAAATTCCTTCAATACGATGAAAACCATCATACGCATCATATATAGCCTATCTTCCACGTGGACGTTCCCGTATATCCACTCCTCTGATACCCGGGGAAAATGGTCTTCGCGATAATGTGGAACGTGTTGACTCTCTGTCACCTGCACGAATCTCTCGCGAGAATATCGCTTGGCTATTTCTCTGGCATTCACGAACTGCATAAGCTGACAAATTGGAAGGTCTTTTTCCATTGGCCAGTTGCACAATGCACGAGATTTCACCAGTCCATCGGGAGTCCTGTCGCGTTCCCGTAGGTCACTATTAGGACGTGGGGATGCGGGGAGAAAGTCCTACGGAACGACTAGATAGAGGATAGAACAGGATAGGATAGGATAGGGGAGTCCAAGGGCTTCAAGGAAAGGTAGATAATTTGTCCAGTATCCCTGGGTCTCTGGGGGCAGGACAACCCTGCGCTGCTGACCCGAATCTTAACTAGGTGTCTACGTCTATTTTAGTTACTCTCTATGGGGCATCCGGCCGACGAGCTCCTCTACGTTTACTCCACCTACCCATCTTATGAGAGGCTGTTAGAGAGAAACACCGAACGGAATGTAAGTTAACCGTATACTGTAATCTGCAGATGAACAAACTTACCAAAGATTATTGAAGTACGCGATAAGAAGAGGAGCAAGTAGAAGAAACCTAGAAAAGAGCAAGGTGATGCGAAGAAACCATTGTGTCTTTGTTGCATAACAGAAGGGCTGCCTTTCCTGGGGCCAACCGACGAAAATCTTACCCCGGGTAAGATCGTTGACTATCAAGACAAGTTCTTACTTTGGTAATACCTCTCCAGTGGCTGGTTTTGTATAACTGCGGCCGAGAAAGGGGAGTAAAATTCGGAGGATTGTAGGTATCATGGTAAATGGCACTAAAGAGGGCCAAGCAATTTGTATGTACAGTAAGCCTCTGTAATTGCAAGCCCACCTATCTGCCTCTAACGCATAACAACCCCCATCGTCCTGGCTAAATTTACATATTATAATTTATACGCGAAAGATATCTCCCCTCTACGACTTACCTGCACTCATCGTAGACGCGGATAGAATTTGATGGAAGTCTTTGGCATTTTTTTTTCCTCCTAAATTCTCATAGTGACATTACCCGCTCTCATTCATTCACATTTCTTTCTACTCTTTTTCTCGTCTGCTTTAGGTCGTTACCAGTCGAGACCAATCGAGTGGAGTCATTACGAGAATCTGGCATGGCTGCCGTTAAACGGGACAATGAAATATATTAGGAAAGGCAGAGACTAAAAGGTACAGGGAATTGCGTGACCATCGAACGTTACCCTGTTCTTCCTGTCTTCGGTTTTTCAAGACTAGTCGGGAAGGCATCCCCTACGTGAATTCCTTCACTCCTGGTTATATCTAGCAAGGAGTTGATGCCAGTCCACAGGATCATTAAGAAACAACAGTTTGCCATAATATTAGGGGTGAACGGACGGTATTAGATATTAATGACGATATTGGCCGGGGTTAGCAATTGTCAGCGGTACTTTTGGCACAAGTAACGGCTTAACGGCGTATACGCGTCTGAGTAACGGCCCTGCTGCCATTCCGGATCTTTATTGCGTTTCTTATTTATTTTTCGTCGTATTTATGCCCCGCCGCGATACTCTAGCTTTCCCGCAGAATGCGAGCAGTCAGGAAAATTGCCCGAAGATGCGCGTAAAACGAGCCAAAACCGCCTACATTGGAACGTCCGAGCTTCGTATGCGATTCGCAGGGGTTTAACGACGTCTCTCCCTACCTATATGCTCTCTCTGTCACACACACACGCTTCTTCCCAGCCCCACCTACGACTCTGATTCTTTCTATCGAATCTATGTAGGTATGGTTATGAGTTCCCATCGAGAAAGGAAAGTGCGTTCGAGGAGAGTACGAAAAGGTCTAGCAGGGTGTGCCGATCGTTCTCGGATGGGTTTAACGATCGAGAAAAAAAATTGCGATTATTCGGGAGGAAGGAGTTTTTGGATGGGTGGGTTAGCGCTAAGGAAGATCGCAGAGGGAGCTTAGCAGGGTACTGGAAGCTTCGCGATGGCAAGGGGGGACGGTAGTTAAGTTAGGAGAGGATGGAAAACGGCACGACGGTGGGGGATGTCCCGATCTCGAAATTCTGGGCATGAGTGTAACATTGAATATGCATTAGCGTCAGGTCGGCGAGAGATGCAACGCCGTTGGAAGGGGTGACTCACATTGTGACCAGAATAAGCAAACTTTCCCCTTAAGGCTCGCGCCGCCTAGGATCG